TATATATATACATATACTTATGCAGACAGGAGAAGAAGCGTGGCTGCTAAGAAGCACCGCACTCGAAAGGCGGAGAGATCAGTAGCAACGAGAAATTACTTAGCGCCACATGCCCCCACCCACCTCAGATATCGCGCTTACACAAGGTGCAAAAGAGAAACAGCGAGAAACAAAAACGTTACAGCAAAAGAAAAAAGAAAACGCGGAGAGGCCGCACCGGCGCGGCGTTCGGGTACATGTGCGTCAGTATGCACGCGCATATGTCAGTGGTGGCGCTTGCAACGACACTTTCTGCGATCTCTCACGACTGCACAAACCCGCAGGTGCAGCATCTCGCGAAGCGCTCGGCCACAACAGGGCGTACGCGCAGCGCGTGCAAAAGCTGCTCATCCATCTCGCCGCCGCAGTGCTCCGACACGTTGCAGAGAATGCGCGGAGAGATCGCAGGACGTAGCATGCACCAAGAGAAGAAACGAGAGAAAAACAACAAATATAAAACAAAGACGAACGAAACCAATAGGTGGTGGTACACATAAAGCCACCATCGTCCTTACAGTGCTTAGATAATAACTTTAATCTCACTAGGTTGACAAAGTCCACCGGTGTGTCCGTGCACAAGGGAAAAGTGGGACAACCATCACGGCACACGCAGAGGCACCTCAACTACTGCCGCAGCTGCGCACGACACGTTTGAAGACCACGGACACAGGTGTAAGCTGTCCACTACGAGGCTGTGACAATTAAAAACAAATGCAGAAGAAACAGGAAAAAAAAACGCGAAGCATCAGGCAAGTTAGAGAGCGACGCCGTCGGCCCGTCTTGGAAACGTTACGGGGAAAAGATGTCAACGCGGCACGCGCCGAGCCGCGACGCGCGCACCCTCCGCAGTGCGGGCGCCTACAGCCACTTACCGATCAGAGCCATCACGCCGGCGCCAATCCACAGACCCGCGTACAGTCCCATGCGCTTGATGATGGCGTAAGGGCGGCCAGCGCTGCAGTGCGTGCGGATGTCGAACGCGAAGTCCACGAACAGCAGGTTGAAGGCGATGTACAGCATGATGCCGCCGCAGATCGAGTCCAGCACGGCGCTCACGATCGCGTACGACGGGCCCGAGAACGCGTCGCGCGACGCAACCACGGCGCCGGTGCCAGCGGCAATGCCGATCGGCGCGGAGAACGAGAACACGAGCATCAGCACAATCTCCAGCGACAGCTTGAAAGAAGCATCCGCGAGACGGGCTCCCATCGCGAGGCCCTCGAACATCTGGTGGAACACAAGCGCAATGATCAGTGCGCGCAGGTCGCTCCCGTTGGACACGGCAACGGCAAGGCCCACGAACACGCTGTGCAGCGTCACACCGAACTCCATGCAGATCGCGGCAACAGCGCGCTGCACAAGCGGCATGTCCGACGGCACCGCCACACCGTGCTGGTGGCCGTGGCACGCCGCACCCTGGTCGCACTGCTCCGGCTCGGGATCGCCCACAGCGCCGCGCGAGTCCATCATGACAACGTCCATCTCGTCGCTGTTGACGCCGTCCTGCTTGTCGGCGCCACGCTGCCGGGCCTCCACCTCGCGCGCAGGGCACTCCTTGCACAGCGAGTCATCGCACGGATTCGCCGCACCGGCGCGCACAGCAGCAGAGCCAGCCTCGTGCTCCGCAGCACGCGTGCTCCAGCGCTCCGCAATCCACGCAACGGTCCCGTCCACGGCGTGCATCAGCACCGCAGCGATCATCGCAAACAGGAACGCCCACCCCTCGTACATGTCGCGGAAGCTCTCGGAGACGCAGTCCTGGTCGAAGTCCGACGTCGCCTCGCCGATCATGTGGATCATCGCGACAGCAAGCACAACGCCGGTCGCGGTGGACTTGCCCACAGCGTACACGTACGGATGCAGACGCAGCGCAGGCACGCGCTTGCCCACCAGCGGGATCAGCGTGCCGAGCAGCGACGCGGCGAGGATGATGAAGATCGCACCAATGTGCAGCCCAACCTCGTACGTGCCCTCCAGCGACGAGCACTTGCCATCATCATCATCGCCAGCATCGGCCGGCGTGTCGGCGGCCGGCTCATCCGCCTTCACGGATTGCGCAGCAACGGCGGCGCGCAACACGTCGCCGAACAGCTGGCGGCACGTCTCGAGGGTCGGCAGGCTCATTCTCGGAGGTTCAGTGAAGTACGAGCGAAAGGGAAGAGTTGCAGCGGGAGAGAGCGGTGTCTTCACGTGAGGGCGTCGTCGTACAGTTCGCGGTTAGAAACAAATCAGGTAGCAGAGTGTCCTACTGTAAGTCTGGCGCGTTCGCAAACGGTGCGCGCACGTGAGAGGACGCAAGGCAAGGGTGGAGGGGGGGGGGACAATGTGAGGTTGTTAACAAGGCGGGGGTGCGCAGCGAAGGGAGGCAGAGCCGAGCACAAGGAAGAGAGCGAGAGGAGGGAGAGATGAAACGTGGAAATGGGGGGCGAGAGCGCACACCAAAAAACAACGTGCACAGCTGCACAGCAGGCGAGCAATTAGGTCAACCATCATCACCGCCAGCAACAGCAGCCCAGCCCAGCCTCAGTCAGCCTACATGGCACTAGCAAGGCCTAAGCAACTGCAGCCAAACGCCACAACTACTTCGACATCCATGCCATTGCGGCGGCACATGTGTGGCTCACAGCACTACCTGCTGTGCACGCTGCTGCAGCGCAACACAGAAAGCAGCACACAGAAGCGCACAGGACCGGTGTGGCGGGGGAGGCCTGCATCACAAGCGGAAGCGGGGAAATCAGCACGCGCGTTGAAGCGCATATATGCTTAGAGACACACGGTTTCACCGACGCAGGGCACGCCACAGTCGCGAAAGCGGCAAAAGAGCTACAGAGAAGAATCAGAGACACACGGAGACAAAAACACTGGCTCGGTAAGTCGTCGCGCTGACACAGAGCAACTGCTACGATCTGCCGCGCGCGCGCGCCACGCACAGCGCTGCAACGCCGGCACGGCTGCCGCACAACAACACAAGCAATCGCGGGGGATACACTACTCGCAGTCGTTACAGCTCAACAACGTGGCCTCCAAGAAGTGGTAGTAATAGGTATGACAGTAGTCAGAAAACGGAGTGCGGCATTGATGACAATGACCGCCTGCACGGGAAAGCATCGAAACAATCAAAACAGGCGAAACAAATAATAATAATAATAATAATAAAGAAATATCGTCGGCGTGTGGACGCGTGCACCGCACCGCTGCACGGCGCTCGTCACCACCCGTCGTTGCTCTCTCAGGCGCACACGCACACACACACGCACACCATCACACACACCATCACACACAACTCATGGGTCAGCGGCGGCACACGGTCGGCACACGCAGCGCGGCACGACAGCGGAACCATCTGGCGGTTCTCCGTCCCGTCGTACGCACGCGCGCAGTCCACACACACGCAGCGCTCAACGCGCACGTCCGTCGGCCTCGGATACTCGGCGGGGTTCGGGCGCCCCGTTAATACACTTCAGCACATCCGATTTGGCGCTAAATGCTATTTATTCGGTTCATACTCTTCGGGTTTAAACCACCCCATTTACCTTACCTAGCGCTGGCGCCACATCACCCCGGCAGCACAGCGCAGCGCCGTCACACAGGCGCACACACAACTCTCTACTCGCGTGCCCCACGGGCACACCACACAGACACATTTCATACATCTGCCTACACTCTCTCCGCGGAGAGAGAACTACGTGGATCAGCGCGCAAACTCACGCGGAGACGCACAGCAGGGGAGGGCACAGGCCAGTGGGAGAGGGGCAGCGGGGGGGGGTAGAGGAGCGGCAACGCACACCGCCACACCCCGCGTCCACACTCACACACATCACCACGGCAGCTCCACAGCGTCCGTCTCCGCTCAACTCATGCGGACACACGTGCGCGCCTCGACGCACACGCGGCCACTGAATCGCTACGTGCCCTTATATTCCGCTCGCACAGCAACGCACGCCGCGTACGAGCCCACCGTGGTCGTCGCCACTTCGCGAGCCGCACTTCATGGTGGGGCGTCAACACACACACGCCGCAATACGAGGCCTCGACCTCAGCACAGCAAAAAGGTTACTTAATCTTATATATATACATATACTTATGCAGACAGGAGAAGAAGCGTGGCTGCTAAGAAGCACCGCACTCGAAAGGCGGAGAGATCAGTAGCAACGAGAAATTACTTAGCGCCACATGCCCCCACCCACCTCAGATATCGCGCTTACACAAGGTGCAAAAGAGAAACAGCGAGAAACAAAAACGTTACAGCAAAAGAAAAAAGAAAACGCGGAGAGGCCGCACCGGCGCGGCGTTCGGGTACATGTGCGTCAGTATGCACGCGCATATGTCAGTGGTGGCGCTTGCAACGACACTTTCTGCGATCTCTCACGACTGCACAAACCCGCAGGTGCAGCATCTCGCGAAGCGCTCGGCCACAACAGGGCGTACGCGCAGCGCGTGCAAAAGCTGCTCATCCATCTCGCCGCCGCAGTGCTCCGACACGTTGCAGAGAATGCGCGGAGAGATCGCAGGACGTAGCATGCACCAAGAGAAGAAACGAGAGAAAAACAACAAATATAAAACAAAGACGAACGAAACCAATAGGTGGTGGTACACATAAAGCCACCATCGTCCTTACAGTGCTTAGATAATAACTTTAATCTCACTAGGTTGACAAAGTCCACCGGTGTGTCCGTGCACAAGGGAAAAGTGGGACAACCATCACGGCACACGCAGAGGCACCTCAACTACTGCCGCAGCTGCGCACGACACGTTTGAAGACCACGGACACAGGTGTAAGCTGTCCACTACGAGGCTGTGACAATTAAAAACAAATGCAGAAGAAACAGGAAAAAAAAACGCGAAGCATCAGGCAAGTTAGAGAGCGACGCCGTCGGCCCGTCTTGGAAACGTTACGGGGAAAAGATGTCAACGCGGCACGCGCCGAGCCGCGACGCGCGCACCCTCCGCAGTGCGGGCGCCTACAGCCACTTACCGATCAGAGCCATCACGCCGGCGCCAATCCACAGACCCGCGTACAGTCCCATGCGCTTGATGATGGCGTAAGGGCGGCCAGCGCTGCAGTGCGTGCGGATGTCGAACGCGAAGTCCACGAACAGCAGGTTGAAGGCGATGTACAGCATGATGCCGCCGCAGATCGAGTCCAGCACGGCGCTCACGATCGCGTACGACGGGCCCGAGAACGCGTCGCGCGACGCAACCACGGCGCCGGTGCCAGCGGCAATGCCGATCGGCGCGGAGAACGAGAACACGAGCATCAGCACAATCTCCAGCGACAGCTTGAAAGAAGCATCCGCGAGACGGGCTCCCATCGCGAGGCCCTCGAACATCTGGTGGAACACAAGCGCAATGATCAGTGCGCGCAGGTCGCTCCCGTTGGACACGGCAACGGCAAGGCCCACGAACACGCTGTGCAGCGTCACACCGAACTCCATGCAGATCGCGGCAACAGCGCGCTGCACAAGCGGCATGTCCGACGGCACCGCCACACCGTGCTGGTGGCCGTGGCACGCCGCACCCTGGTCGCACTGCTCCGGCTCGGGATCGCCCACAGCGCCGCGCGAGTCCATCATGACAACGTCCATCTCGTCGCTGTTGACGCCGTCCTGCTTGTCGGCGCCACGCTGCCGGGCCTCCACCTCGCGCGCAGGGCACTCCTTGCACAGCGAGTCATCGCACGGATTCGCCGCACCGGCGCGCACAGCAGCAGAGCCAGCCTCGTGCTCCGCAGCACGCGTGCTCCAGCGCTCCGCAATCCACGCAACGGTCCCGTCCACGGCGTGCATCAGCACCGCAGCGATCATCGCAAACAGGAACGCCCACCCCTCGTACATGTCGCGGAAGCTCTCGGAGACGCAGTCCTGGTCGAAGTCCGACGTCGCCTCGCCGATCATGTGGATCATCGCGACAGCAAGCACAACGCCGGTCGCGGTGGACTTGCCCACAGCGTACACGTACGGATGCAGACGCAGCGCAGGCACGCGCTTGCCCACCAGCGGGATCAGCGTGCCGAGCAGCGACGCGGCGAGGATGATGAAGATCGCACCAATGTGCAGCCCAACCTCGTACGTGCCCTCCAGCGACGAGCACTTGCCATCATCATCATCGCCAGCATCGGCCGGCGTGTCGGCGGCCGGCTCATCCGCCTTCACGGATTGCGCAGCAACGGCGGCGCGCAACACGTCGCCGAACAGCTGGCGGCACGTCTCGAGGGTCGGCAGGCTCATTCTCGGAGGTTCAGTGAAGTACGAGCGAAAGGGAAGAGTTGCAGCGGGAGAGAGCGGTGTCTTCACGTGAGGGCGTCGTCGTACAGTTCGCGGTTAGAAACAAATCAGGTAGCAGAGTGTCCTACTGTAAGTCTGGCGCGTTCGCAAACGGTGCGCGCACGTGAGAGGACGCAAGGCAAGGGTGGAGGGGGGGGGGACAATGTGAGGTTGTTAACAAGGCGGGGGTGCGCAGCGAAGGGAGGCAGAGCCGAGCACAAGGAAGAGAGCGAGAGGAGGGAGAGATGAAACGTGGAAATGGGGGGCGAGAGCGCACACCAAAAAACAACGTGCACAGCTGCACAGCAAGCGAGGAGGGTGTTTGAGTTTGTTGCCGGGTTCAGCATCAGCCTTTTTTGTTTGTGGAGAACCGGCGTCGCAGTTAGCGGATAGTCCGTTGTTGTTGTTTCATTGCACCGGCGGTTGTGGCATCTCATTTGTCCTGTTGGCTTCACGTTATCCGTACAGAATCGATGATTTGGCTTTCAGCGAGTGCCTGGTTTTGGAGCGCGGATGTACCCCCCAATAATTCCTTTCACATCTGCAACGGTGCAAGTGTCGTTGAAGATTGGGACGTGATGTTCAAGTCTTGTGACTCGCCGGGCATGTTGTGTATCTCTACGTACGCCGGCATCTTTGTAGGAAGTGCCATGGTACCATTTCCCGGTCCTCACGACTGCTGTTTTCTTTTTGGTTTTTGTTCTCAGATTCACGTAAAGACACAAAGAGACAAGGTTGTTTTTGAGCTTCAAAAGGTCCGTTTTCCTGTCTGGTGGACGATAGCGAGATTTCTGCAAAAGCCAAAAGAAAAAAAAGATGTGATCATCAATAATCTGCTGAGAGGTGTGTGTTAGTATATGAATGTTTGTATTTAAGTAATTGAGAAACGAGTTCGCGTTAGGGAGTTCACAAAGCATCCATTTGTCTCCGAAAGACGAAGAGAGGAATCTCCTTTTAAGAAGATTGTTGAAGAATCCAACAACACTTGTGAGGGGTAAGATCACTTTTTTTTCTTTTTACGGTGTCGTCTCAACTCCATTAAGATCGTGTTTATTCATTTAAACAACAAAAAAATACGAAGATGATGTCATTGGTCCCACGTAATGGTCGTACATACCCTCTTTTCCTTTTCCTTTGTTCCATACGGAAGCACCACGAAGGACGCGTATAATTGATGATGCAGCGCTTTGATATTAAACTTGACACACAAATCGAGTAATAAACGAACAGAAAAAAAAACTTCCGTTTTTTCCCCTCTCTCGCACTCTGCCGAGAAGTTGCTGCTGTTGGGGATCTTTTTACTAGGCTTTGGTATTCTTGGGGTTTTTGGGGGGTCACTAAAAATATCTTTGTCAATGTTGAGAGACATCAACACACTCTCCATCACGTGCGCATTGTGGGTTTTTCTCTCCTTTACTGTAACTGAAGCAAGGGGTTAAAAAAAGAAATAAAAATAACTTTAGTTTTAAACCACACTCGCGGGGATCTACCTCGAGGCATAGAAAATAAGACTCAAACGTAATTTATTTTTCTCCTCTACGCTTTGAATTCCCCACGAGTGTCAAAGTCGGAGAGATATGCATGGTTTTTTGCTTTCTTTTCCTTTTTCTTTGAGGTTTTATTATTGGTAGTAATGAAACTACTCCAGAGGAGCAAGCGCTTTCGGCATCCGGTACATGAAAAAAGTGTAGAGAGGGTAGGCTACGCCGATGGCCATGACCCCAAAGGAGAGGACAGTGAGGCAGTAAAACGGCGTCATACTGTCCGAGTCGGACCATGGCACCTTCACGTTCGAGGCGAAAATGCCGGGAATGACGGCGACGGGCATCACCACAACAGCAATCTGTGTCTGCACGTGGTTCAAATAATCCATGAAGTTGCAGTGCGAAAGTAGGCGTGCCGAGACGCCGCTGATGAGGGTCATGTTGGACAGGTTCACGATATCGCGACCTTTACGAAGCTTGATGACGGTGCTCCGCACAGATGACAGTGAACGCTGGTAGCGCTCGATCGCCTGCAAGGACTGCGCCAACGGGGTCTGCCGCACTGCCGGCAGCAGCAGTTGCTTCAGCACCCGCTCCTTCTGCAGCGCGTCAATGTGAAACGCAGCGATCAAGTTGCGGATGCGCTTGGTGCGCACGAGCACGTCGTCCTGATCGACCCGCGACGGCAGAATCTGCAGTACAAGTTCATCCAATTGATTCGCCTCCATCAACAGCGAGCGGGTGGACTGCTGAAGATAGGAGATGATGGCTGAGATGAGGGAGCTGCACACAACGGAGATGGCGGTGGCCGCGTTCCAGTTTTTCATGCTCGTCGCCGACGGCGTTCCGGTGTTGTGCGAAGGGGAGGAGGGGTGGGCCTGCGTGGGACCGGCCAAGGCGAGCCGCGAGTACGACAACGGATGCGGAGGCGAGCGGGTGCGCCGTTCCTCCCGTGCGACGGCGGCGGGGGAGAAGGGTGTCGTCGAGTGCGCGTTGCCGTCGTGCACGTCGGAGCTTTGGTCGACGGGGCCGACAGTGCTCTTGAAGAACGCCGCCGTGCTCGAATCGTTCATCACGTCTTCACCAGTTCGCTGCGCCGCGTCACGTTGGCTGCGGTCGTTTTCGGTTAGCGTCAACGTGCTGGACAGAGTGTTGATGGACGTCACGCGGGCCGGCATGCCACCCCGGGCCCCGTGCGCCGACGGAGAGCCAACGCGGTTGGCCACGATGAGACGGACGTCGCCCTCGCCGCCGAAGCGGCAAACACTGAAGGTGAAGAGGGTCGACTCGAAGGCCAGCGCAATGACCGGCGTGCTCGGCACCTGCGTCTCGTGCGCGATGAGATCCTCCCGCGGCGTCGCATCGCTCTCGGCGCTCTCCTCCTCTGGCAGGGGCACGGCCTGCAGGCACAACACCGCGTAGCCGTGGGCGGGGAAGTACTCGAGGAAGTTGTGGTGTGCGATGCTGTGGTGCGGGTGCGGGTGCTCATCCTCCTCCCCTTCATACTCTCCCGCATCGTTATCATCATCATCCGCATTCCCCGCATTCGAGTGCTGCGCGGCTGCGTTGTTTGTGTCGCTGCCGACACCGCGGCGGCTCAGCTTCGAGTTCGTCTTCGATTTGTTCGCTGACTTGCCTGCCTGCTCGCCTGCTACAAGCCCCTCAACGCCGGACGGGTCACCTGCCTGCGGGCCGTGCTCCCATAAGATGTTCAAGATGCGGCGCCGCGTGAGAACGTGGATCGGAAGCCAGTTCAGTATCTCCGTCAGCTCGCTCTGGGACGCTGCACGCACACTCACCCACGCCGGGTGTCCGCCGGGGTGGGTCGGAGAGGCCGGAGAGAGCGAGATGGAGGGGAAGGACTGGCGGTCGTTCAAGGAGCCCAGCGCATCCAGCCTTGGCTTGGAGCCCGCGCCAGACAACTGCGGTCCGCCCTCACGTGCTGCTGCCGCTGCTGCTGCTGGACCGTAGGGCACCTCCGCGAAGTGATCGCCTGCCACCGTCGGCGACCCAGCAAGTGGGCCAGCCAGATCTCTCTCCGGCAACATCTGCTTCAGCGTGGCCACATCCGGCACAAACTTTGGCTCCGCACGAGACAAGACGTCGTCGAGATACCAGACACGAATTCGAAGCGCATCGGTCTGTTCACTGCCGCCTTCCACCTTCGTCCCACCCGCCGACAACCCCTCCCGCCGCGCGAAAAACGGAGACGCTGGAAGAGAGGAGTACGCAGGAGTAGGTTTAGCTGCGGTGGCTGATGCAGCGGAAACGGCGGCAGATGGAGCGTCAACTTGCGCCATTTCAAAGCTGCCGGGCAGCTCCTTGTCTCCCTTCATACGCGAGCTCATCTTTTCTCGTCAGAAATGCTACCTAGTTCGACAAGAGTCGTTCTCGGTGCGATGCGTAGGGAGAAAGGAAAAAAGAAAAAGGAAACAGTTCCAGGTTTAATTTAAAAACGAAAACACCTCTAGTACTTTTAGAGAGGGAGAGTAGTGTATCACGGTGAAGGCGCTACTGCTGGGTGCTGTCCAGCCTCACCATGCCTTGTTGAGAAAAGGTGGCCTCCACTTGACTCAGTTTTCCCATTACCTTCGTAAAAGTAGAAGGCTATTTTTTTTTTTCTCAGTCGAGAAGGCAAAACAGTTGTATGTTAAACTGTATATAGGGTTTTTTATTTTATTTCCAAACAAGCAGCTTCAGGTTCTTTAGTTAAAAGCAGCAAAAAAGCTTTGAAGAAGCACAGATGTTTGAAGAAAATAAAAGAGAAAAGATCAAGCAGATAACAAGACTTGTCCAATTGATGTTGCACGTTCTTTTCTGCTATTTAGGTGTCTCGATTCGTGATGAACGGCGACGGTCCGGTACATACAGGAGGAAAACGAAAAGAAGGATGAAGGAATCAAAATTCCCTACGAACGCAGGCGACAAAACAGAAAATGTAAGTGATACGCAAGTAAGTCGGGTGGTGCAATGCTCAACAGAATTGCGGAGACAGAAAAAAAAATGTATTTAAAAATAAACATATTTCACTGCTTTACTTTTTATACTACGCCGAAGTCAGCATTTAAGAAGAAGGGAATGAAAAGGGAAAAAGACGGTCACAAAGAGTCCACTACGGAGATGCAGGTAAAATGTTTTCTTTTAAGGCGGAAAAAAAAAGTGTTATCGGGTAACGTGTGTCTTACTTAGCATGTGAACTAGCGTAAAGCACATCGACCATTTACTTCCGTTTTAGCTATGTTGATTTGGCTTGTGTTTGTTCATTCAGTTTCTAAAAAAAAAAAATTGTATCAATGAATTCACGAAAAAGACAGTTACGGTTAGTTCATTGCTTGCCTTTAATCACTAAAGAAAAAAGAGAAGTTAATAGAGATGGTGGAGGTGGTGGAGGTGGTGAGGTAGTATTCATCACTGGCATGAACCGTTTGAGGGTGCACAGGCAGTTGAAGGGGGTATTTAAAAGAAAACCACAAGGAAGAGCGTGAAAAGAGAGAAGATAGTTAAAACACAAAAGGGAAGAAACATGAAGTGAAGAGTGCATCTCGAGGTCAGCAAAAGTGTTCAGCTTCGCATGCGTTTCAGATCAGCGCGGAAAAGCGAAAAAGAAGGAAGAATAGATCGAAGAGTCCTTCTTATTCTTTTTTTGGTTTAGTCGTTGTTGTTGTCATTCATATGAGTTCTATTTGGTTTTAAGCTTGGAGAACAGCGGCCCGCAGCGTGGAAAAGGAGGTGCACAGGCACGGGGATAATCGCTGATGTGGTAACAGGCTACGCAAAAAAACAAAGAACATCAACGACGCGGACTCTTCGCCATTAAAGTGCAAAAACTGAGAGTTTCTTTGAAGATCAAAGCCGTTTGTCCCACTCCGTCACCACTTTTGAGTTATGTATGTTGTCGTTACACCCTTCACTCGTGCATGTCAAGCAGAATGGGGCAGTTGGCGTCCGCCAGCAGCGGCAGATGGCAACGGAGGATATGACGATAGAGCGGACGCTGAAGCAGCATGTAGGCGCAATCCAGCAGGCGATAGGTGTGCCACACTACCGGATCGATGAGGCTCTCCTCCGCATAGCGGGTGTGACATGCACGTTGCGTCGCACCGTCCACACTTGCACCATCATTCTCTTCTAAAGAAACACGCTGACACCGTTTTCTCCCTGCCACCACGCACGTGTCGGCCAAGACGCATGTAAGACAATTTAAGCCCAGCTCCAGCGAGGTCCCGAAGTCGGCCTCGTCGTTCGCGATGTCCGCGCAGAGAAAAATGCCGTCGAGAGTTTCGCTCGTTTTGGCGGAGAACGGGTGCGCCTCCCGTAACCGCGCAAAGTTGACGGATCTGCTGTACGGTGCGGAGTCGAGCGCCGTCGCTGGACTTGCACTGCTGTCGTGGGTGCCGTCGTCAGAGGTGGAAGGCGAAGCGGCAGCGGCTACAAAATCCGCCTCCCAGTCGCGCAGGCAGTTCGCAAGAGAGACCCGAGCTGGGATGTTTGGTTCGCGATAGCCGATCTCCGTTGTCTTGTCCACCGGGACGCAAAGGCCGAGCCCGCTGTAGAGGGGCGCCACACACGCCTTGAGCCGCTTCGCAACGTCAGTTCGCTGCGCGCTGAGGGATTCAGCAAAGCTCGTTTTAAGACCCGCGCAACAGTTTGGCTTCGTGACAGCTGATAAAGCGTCAAGAGCGCTTTGCAAGGCGTGTGCGGTGGCCAGCGACTCTGCGTCGCCTGCTGCGCGATACCACGCACAGAGGTAAGCTGACAGCCACCCTTTCCCGTTCAACATTGTAAATTTCGGCCTGCGCGCCGTGCCTTCCGCCAGCATGCCGGGTGCGTCGGAAGGCTCGTCGCGGTGGAAACAGATATGCACACCCTCAGCATCCAGCTGGGCAAGGGTGAGCTCTTTGTTTTTAGTGCCCGCGGAGGTGACCTGCATGGCAACCGTTTGACACTCCGGTGGGTCGTAGCGGAAGCGCCCGCACCGCCAACGGCGTACCTCGTCTTCCGCGTTGCGTCCGTGAAGAAGCTCTTTAAGCTTTTCGGCAGCGGCCTTCGCATCAGCATCGCCTTTATTGTAGCGGGCACTGCTGGAGCACAGTTGGCCGTACCGCACAGCCAGCTCAAAAGGTCCGGTAAGCCGCCACCCCCGGAACGCCGCAAGAGGGTTCGCAGGGTTCAACGCGCACGCGGCGGTCAGCACGCATTGCACATCCTCCGCGTGAAAGCCCATGCCAGCATACGCCTGCTCCAGCACCTGGGCGACACCACTCCAGTAATGCTGTACGTCAATGTGCAGTAATCCTGTCGTGTCTTTGCCGTTGTTGCTGTCGAGCGAGACCAGCGCAGAGAGGTGTGGGGCGTGTGTGAGAAAATGAAGCAGTTGAGCAGGAGAGGCAAGATCAGCTTCCTGTATTGACAGTGCTCGATCTCCCGCAGCTTGCCTGTCCGCGCCATGAACGCTGGAGCTTGAGTGATCCTCACTGCGGCAGCGCTTGGAGGGCATCTGCTGCGGCTCGTCGGCGCCTGCTGTGGTAGCGGTGTCAAGTTGCTGCTGCGGGTACTGCAGCGGGTGGGAGTATGCTTGAAAGTGTTGTGGGTTTTTGCGGTAGCAGTGGCCGTCATACGCGCACACTGGGAGTTGGTCTGATGGACAGGGGTTCATACCGCCGCTCGTGGGTCTCCTTTGTTTGCTTTCTCTTGGGACAAAGAGTTTGTTTTTGTGGGGGATCGAAGATCTCGCGTGCACCAACTTCTCTCGCTCGCGTGGAAGCAACACGCGCACAGTTGATGTGACTGTAAGAGAAAAACAAAAAGCGTGTTTACGGTTTTTCCGTGCGGGAGGTGCGCGTGTGCAGTACTTCTCTGCTCCGCAAAGAGACTGCGCTTCGACTGACGCTCTCCCGTTTTGGTTGTTGTTGTTGCAGTTGTTTTGCTAAGAAGGAGGAGGTGCGTGGTGGCGGCTGCGTCGACATTCCTCTTCTGTTGTGGCAGCCAAAAAAAATTTTGCGGCCGATCGTGTACCCGTTACACCGCTTGTTTCTCCTTTTTATTTTTTGTGTGTGTGTGTGTGTGTGAAACCCGGTGCGTGTGCCGATGCTGCGTAAGTCTGAAGGTGCTTTTACACGTAATTGTGAGGCGCGATAACCAGAAATTGGAGAGAGAATTGAAGAGATAAGAATCGATTTCAGCAGCAGGACTGCGAAGACGTCAGATAGTCTTCAATGAATCAAGTGAAGTAACAGGAAGTCGCAACAAAGACAGCCGTGTCATAGATGCACAAACAACACCGTTGACCATCATCATCGCTCCTCACGGACCTGCTCTTCCGCAACATCAAATAGCCGCTGCAACTACGGTTTTTCCCTCCACCAAAGGCCATTACTACTGCGCAGAAAGCCACTCCTACACACGCTGGTGGCTGAGGAAGCAATTTTTCTTTTTCTTCTTGAGAACTCAAAACAACGTCGATAACAATCGTACAACAAGAACGGCTTCATCTGCGAGAGAAAAAGTGGCGAGAACAGAAGCGCTAAAGGAAAAGGAAAGACCTCACAACGCAGCCTTCACGGGAGGAAACACAGGCGTGTGTGCGCGGCATCGCACCATTCGCACGACGACGCGTTCTCCTTCGTTTATTTATTTCGTCGTCTTCCTTTATTATTAAATAGCATTTAAATGGCTTCGCGGCGCACGCGGCGGAAGAAATTCTTTTCAAAGACCTCCTCGTCATTGTACATCGCCCTCATGTTGGAGCGGAGGTACATGTAATCGGCATCGGAGTGCTGCGAGCTTGTGATGTCCACATCAATCACGCAGCGCGGGCGACTCACTTTGAACTTCTGCGTGATGCTGTAGTGGGCCGAGAGGGGGTCGCGGTTGCACAGAGTCAGCTCGCGGCGCAGGTTGTGCTCCATCGTCGTGTCGATATCATCAAAGCGGTAGATGCCCTCGCCAAAGACGCCGCCCACGCCATCCGTCACACAGGTCCACGAGTCGCGGACGATGTCGTACGAAACGGAGCGGTCCACGCGGCCCGGCACGAGCGTGGTGATGGGCGTGAAGGCGGCCGCCTCGGGACTCGGGTCCGGCCCGGGAACCACCCGCGCCTCCTGCGCCAGCACCGGCACGCGCAGCGTCGCGCTGACCGCGTCGATACGCAGCGTCGCGTCCTCCGGCGAGCACCACACCATCGGCCAGTAGTTGTTCGCAACGGAGAGCGAGAGGCAGTGGCCGGCGGGCACGCAGTAGCCGCAGAAGTCCATCTGCACCGTCGCCTGCACCGCCGTCCCGGGTGTGAGCAGCGCAACCGCGCCGTCCCCACGCGGGCCACAGTGCACAAGGTTCTTCATGCCATAGGTGATGCGAGTCGCCGCGCCATCCGGCGCAACGTCGCAGAGCTGCGCAAAGAGAAACGCCTTGGGCTTGTCGCACGTAACAGAGACGACGAAGGTCGGCTGGCCGAGAATGTTCATCTCCGCCGTCAGCGGGGCCGAGAAGTAGGTGACCGCCATACCGTTGTCCATGCGCTGATCGCCAGCCGTCTCCCCCATCACACCAGCCCCCATCCACTCGCCCGAGAGAAGGCCGTGGTTGAGAGGGGTGTGCACAACGACGTCGGCCACCGCCTCGATCCCCGACCCGTTGCCCTCCACCGCCTGGAGCAGACGGCCAGCACCGAGGCCGTAGCACACCGTCGGCACGTCCGCATTCACCCACCGGTCCATCGCCACCCACTTGCCTGGCGCGACGGGCTTGCTCGTGCACGGGGGCTGTGCGTCCTCAATGTAGGCCTGCAGCATCGGCCAGCGCGCGACGTCGTTCTCTGTCATCCCCTTCATCCAACAGTCCCACCAGTCCTTTGCGGCACGCAGGAAGTTCATCCGGGGCAGCGGGGTGCCGTCTTGGGGGTACGCATGCACCCACGGGCCGCAGATCGCCTTGCACGGCACGTGCAGGCGCTCCAGTAGGTGGAAAAGCGCGTTGGTGTAGGAGTCGGCCCACCCGTCCACCAGCAACACCGGCACCTGAATCGCGCTGTAGTCCTCCTGCACCGAGCCGTGCCTCCAGTAGTCGTCGTACGTCTGGTGCGCCGTCCAGTCCGCGGCGTTCAGCGGCATCTTGTCCAGCCGCTCCAGCCACATGTCCTTCCACCCGTCACCCACAAGGTCCGCGTTCGGGGGGTAACACTGGAGGCCCTGCATGATGCAGCCCCACCAAAAGTTGTCGTTCAGCAGGCAGCCGCCCTTCCAGTGGATGTCGTCGGTGAAGCGGTTGTCGGTGAAGCCGAGCACGATGATCGCCCGCAACGCCGGCGGACGGCGCGCCGCCACCTGCAGTGAGTTGAAGCCGCTCCACGACTTGCCCATCATGCCCACATCGCCAGTGCACCACGGCTGCTTGCTGATCCAGTCAATCACCTCCAGCGCGTCGTCCTGCTCCTGCTTCAGGTACTCATCGAACAGTAGGCCATCCGATTCCCCGGAGCCGCGCATGTCCACGCGAACCGAGACGTAGCCCTGGCCGGCGAAGAAGCCGTGCATCGGCTCATCCCGCGCACGAGTGCCGCTGCACTTGCCGTAGGGGATGTACTCCAAGATGGCCGGGTAGCGGTGTTCGGACGACGCGTCCCTCGGCATGAAGAGCCGGGCAGCGAGACGAATGCCATCCTTCAAGGTAATGTAAATGTGCTCCACGAAGTTGGTCGGGTGCGGGGGGTCGAGCAGAACACGACGCATCGTTGCTGGCGCGACGCACTGTCGCAGGGAGATGCGCTAGAGAGGAATATGTGAAGGAGAATGCGCGTAAGGAATGAAGTGCGCAGGGGCAGCGGTTAGGATGTAAACGATAAAAGTGGGTGGCTTCGGTGCTGTTGTGCTTGCTTATATATCTCCCACCGTTCAGCAATAGAAAGAAAAGGAAAACGGGAAAGGAAAAAGTAGGAATATACGAGTGCATCTGCAGCACGCATCGATCTGATCAAGAGAGTCGCGTGCTGCAGATGGCCAGCTGGCTGCAGGCAAGCACGGCTGACAACTCTCAGTAGGGCCATCGAGACACCCACAGAGGAAAAACAAAACGCAGCTATGAGATCACGATGTGCGCAGATTATCACAGCTATTGTCTCTCTTCCTTCTTTCTCCTTGAAGTAGCTCGCGCAGCGCCCACGATTCGTGATGACGATGGCGTCCGTTTTCTTTTTCCTTGTACACCATCTGCTTCGGTATGTGAGTATTAACAGAGGAAAGAAAAACCAAGCGTACAATTTCCCACCCAACGAGAGAGGAGTCAGCACACGGCAAGCATGCGGCACTTCTCTCATTTCGTTCTCTTTGTGTGTCACCGTATTGCCTTTTCCACACAATGCCGCCCTGCACCTCTGCGGCGTCGGACCACAAGCGTTCGTTGCGGTTTGCGACTCCTCACTCCGTGATGCCAAGGTTCTTCAAAATGCGGGAAATTACGGTCTTCTCCTCCAACACCTGGTAGTGGTGCAGCTTCATGAACAGGTTGGCGTGCCCTTTCACCGCCTTGCGCAGCTCCATCGTGTAGTGCAGCGTGTTCCGCATCGCCACGATGGCCTTGACGGAGCGGCCGTCCTCCTGCACATCCACCGTGAGCGCCTTATGCTCGTTCAGCGAGCTTACCACGTTGCCAATGTAGGTCGGCTCAGACAGATGCACCTCCACCTCCATCATCGGCTCCAGCAAGGCGAGGTCATCCTTGCGGGTGGCACGCAGCATATCCAGCAGCACGGAGCGCGCAACGTGGCTCAGCGACTTTCCCTGTAGAACCGAGCCGGCGGTCTTGCGGAAGCTCGTCAGCACCACCTCCACGCCGTGCATCGGCAGCCCAGCCAGCGGGCCGAGACGCATGCAGGCATCCACAGCGGATTGAAATGTCGTGGAGATGACGCGCAGCTCCTCCTTGGCGTTGCGCACATCGTTGGCACGGCCACCGGACGACATCCCGCCGCGCTGTTGCTGCTGCTGCTGCTGCTGGTAGCCGGCGAGATACGACGCCACAAACGCGTTGTCCATGCGGAAGCGGCAGTGGTCATTGGGCCCGCACCGCTCGCCGTCTTCCAGAAGCGGGCGCATCTCCAGCGAACACTCCGCGTAGGGCAGCTCGTTGAAGAAGCCGACGTGCTTTTCCACTGCCTGCGTCGTCCGTAACGTCTCGCGGTACTCGATAATGGCACGTAAAAGCCGGCACTTCACCTGATATTCGTTGGAGAGGCGAGACATGATGATCTCGAGGTGCAGCTCACCCATTCCGCTGACCACCATCGTGCCCTGCTCGTTTTCAGAGACGCGCAGGCTCGGATCCTCGCGAGTCAGCTCCGCCAGCGCGTCCTTCAGCAGCTCCACCTGATTTCGTGTAGCCGCCTCAATCGAGAACGAGATGACAGCCGGGGGAGCGTCAATGCCTTCCAGAGTGTACACCTCCTCCTTCACCTCTCCCTTCTTCACGCGTGCCTTTGCCTGTAAAAGGTGCTGCGACGGGTGGGCGAAAAGGGTGTCGCCGGTGTAGGTGTGCGTGAGAAAGGCCGCGCCGATCTGGCCCGCCGCCAAGCACGGCACCTCGACCGGTTGATTGGCGTGCATGACGTACAGCTTCTCCACCACCTCCGTCTGCCCACGACTGTGATTTGCCAACTGCGCGCGTGGCGTGATCATGCCACTGTATACGCGCAGAAACACAAGCGGCAGGCGCTGGCCTTTGAGGGGGTGAACGGCGTGCGTTACCTTGAAGGCCAGCGCTACCGTAGACACAGTCCGCGCAGCGGAAGCCGGCGGGAGGGCGACGGGGATGCCGTCCCGCGTCAATCCCGTTGGATGGCGGTCCGCAGGGGAGGGAAGGTAGCAGGTGATGGCGTCCAACAGCGGTTGCACGCCTTGATCGCGGCGGGAGGCCCCGCACAGAACCGGGAGCAGCGGAGGACGGCCGTGCGGGGGGTGGACCACGCAGCGACGCACCGCAGCCTGCAGCGCCCACGTCGACAGCCGCCGCTCCGCCTCCGCCTCATCGCCGTCCGTCGCGTCCAGTTGCTCGATGAACTGCTCGGAGAGGGTGTCGTCCACCGCTGTCAGCTGCGCCACCACATCGTGCCGCGCGCTGCGCATCGCCCGCACCACGTGCGGCAGTTCATGCGCCACCGCCCCAGTGCCGCCGGATGGAGAGGAGGCACGTTGACCGTCAGCGCCACTCGCCTCGTCGAGGTTCGTGCGTTGAACCTCTGACCCGTTCTGCCCACCAAACCGACACGCCGTCTGTGCAAGCACGTCCACAACGCCTGCAAAACTGCCATCCTCGCCGTGTAGGGGCAGCTGCAGCAGCAGCGGCTCCACCTGCAGCTTATCGCGAATCGACGCCACAGACATCTGAAAGTCGGCGTTGTACTTGTCCATCTTGTTCACAAACGCGAGCAGCGGGACTTGAAACTTGCGGCTTTGCTGCAGCACGGTATAGCTCTGCGCCTGCACACCCGCGGAGGCGTCAAAGAGGGCGACGACACCGTCCACGACGCGCATCGCTCGCTCCACCTCCACCGTAAAGTCCACGTGGCCCGGCGTGTCGATCAGGTTAATGTCGCAGCTTTTCCACTGCAACGAGACGGCAGCGGATTGGATGGTGATACCGCGGTCCGCCTCCTCTTTCATGAAGTCCGTCGTCGTCGTCCCGCTGTCCACGTCGCCGACGCGCTTCGTCACGCCAGAGTAGAAGAGCATGCGCTCCGTCGTGGTGGTCTTGCCCGCGTCGATGTGGGCCACGATGCCGATGTTGCGGATCCTCGCGACGGCGTCGCCTGCCTCCTGCGCACCCGCACCCACGCCGCGACGGTGGTGGGTGGCAAAGGAGGCGGCACGGGACGGCGCCGTGCTGCAAAAGATGCCAAAGCCGCGAGATGGGGTCCACGTGCTGCCCAGGTAGAGGCCACGCTGAGGAACATGAGCCGCCGCCCACCGCGTCCACCGGGGTCGAGAACGCGCGGGCCACGGAATCATTCCGTTGATGATGTTTTTATATACGACTACCGCTCACGCAACACAGAGACAAAGAACGGATACTTGTAAGGCAGAGAAAGACAGGGGAGTTTAGGAAATGTTAAAGCAGGCGAGGAAACAAGAGACGCACGCTTGGTAAAAGCCCAGGTAGAAAACCAATTTAGTCATGAACTTGCTTTGGTGCGCTACCACGTAAGCGGGATTCCCATGTCCTCTACAGTCTGTGACCCACACAAAACAAGGCGCTGATTCAAACCTAGTCTTTTGCGTGTCTTCATTGACCTTTTACACAACACTACTGCAATGCGTCAGCCAGCAATGGCCTCGTTCAACCATTTTTACTTCTCAAAGATAAGCCAGCTATATAATGCATGTGCGTTCGAAAATGTGACAGGAATAAGCAAAAAAAAATAGCCTCAAGGTACAATGAACCCGTAGCTCCTGGAGTCCGATGACTTGAGGAGAGTCCTGACTGTTTCGCATTGGCAAGACGAAGAGTAAAAAAAAAAGCGCGGCCGGGAGAAATTAGAGGGAGGGGGAGGGGACAGAGAAACAGGAACGAGAAAGGAAAGAACTCCGGCACAAATGCCATGACATTCTTCCACCCTCTTCATTCGCCACTCACCTACATTCGCTGGAAAAACACAAAATAAAGCCGAGACGTTCTTTTTTTTTCTTTCGTCCACGCAGATAGCTCCGTTGCGTTCTCTTTTCATATTATGTTAGCTCTCATTTTCTTTTTGGAGATGCGAAATTACGTGAAGCGTACATTTCGAAGTATTTTGAGTTTCCCACCTTTACGATCGATGCACGCCGCTTTCTGCAGATGGCTACAAGGGCCTACAGGGCTGCTGACGCCGGATGGCATTCTCATTACCCCCTCTGTTGAGGAGTTGAAAGAACAGCAAAAAGTGAGAAAGGGAAAGAAATACGATCTGCTAGTAAGCGTTTTGGTGAAGTATTTGTTTGTCGTTGTTGATGCTAGCACCGCTGGTGTTCCTCAATCGTCTTGACCTTGGAAAGACGACTCATATGGCGCTCTCCGTGGGAGAACTCGGTGGTCAAGGCAGTGAGAATGATGTCGCGAATCACCTCCAAGCCACAAACCCGCTCGCCAATGCACACGACGTTTGCGTCGTTGTGGTTGCGGCAGAGGAACGCCGTCACGTGGTCGTGGCACAGTGCCGCACGGATGCCCTTGTACTTGTTCGCCGCGATGGACATGCCAATGCCGGTGCCGCAGAGCAGAAAGCCCATATCCACTTCGCCCTTTTGGATCGCCTCACACACCGGCGCTGCGAAGTCGGGGTAGTCGACGGACTGCTCAGAGTCTGGTCCCATGTACACGACGGACGTCGCCGTGCCAGACGACTTGATCATCTCCATCACCTCGTTGTGCACGTGGACAGCGGCGTGGTCGCAGCTGAAGGCAACGCGCATCGGCATCTTGGACAACTGGAGAGAGAAGTGCAAAGAAGAAGATTAAGAGAGGAATGATGAGAACGGATTGCTCGTGGTCACAATGAATGGAACAATATTAATAATAACAGAGAAGGTTTGATGTCTACTTATGAGTAACGGCTTGAAGATCTGTCTCACGAACTCGAAAACAAAAAAAAGTCACGGAGGAGAAAGGAGAAGGCAGAGAAGCATAAGAAAGGAGGAAAGTCAAGAGCTACCCGCGTTAGCTTTCACGAACCGTCATCGTGAAGAGAAGACAAAAACACTTTTTCTTTTCTTTCGATACAGTGAGAGTGGAGTGTAAGTGCCTCCTTCAATGACAGGGGAAAATATTTTCCGTTGCTGCGTGGACATCTGCGTGTGGCGCAGCGCAGCAGCAGCCCTTACACTTGTTTCTGCCATTTTTTTCTTCATTCATGCACACTGACGTGCTCCATCGAACAACACCAACCCTCGTCCAACTCCCTCTCTCAAGTGCACGCAGGGATACTCGTCGAGTACTTTTTCCCCTGCTTGCACGTGCGTGTGATCGGGTGATGGGGGTTAGAGGGGGGGGGGAGCCGTTTGCCTCTCAGGTTTTGGAGGTTGTTGTTGTTGTTCCCGCTCCCCTGCAAGAGGGACACAAGGAGAAACGTAGGTAATAAGAAATCAGCATAGTAGAGCGAACACGCTCAAATAGACCCGCAAATGTCACTGTAAAAATGAGAGGCGCATCCTCGCAGCCACCAGAGGGGGGCAGACCAATACGTGTTCTGTGCGTTTCTCCCTCTCATGACGACGCCATCACTTCCGAGTAGCGAGGCATGAAGTAGTCTGGCAAGATGCGCAGCAAGAACAACGCGACGGTTTTGTATTCTGCAAAAGCCACCTCCGTGCTGAAGAACACCGTGGCGACGTAGCGCTGGCACGAGGCGTAGTAGCCGATCCAGAGGCAAAGCAGACGGAAAAAGCTGCGGTAGAAGCAGCCGCCAAACTCGCGCTGGTACACACTACCTTCATGCGGCGGGTCACAGCAGCCGTAGCACATCAGCCCGGGGCACCGCCACCGCAGCAGGTCGGGTGCCGGCACACCCCGTGAGACGACAGGCGACACCCCGAAGTCGATACTGTCGTAATTGCTATTTTTGTTGTGTTTGTTGTTGCGCGGGACGATGGATGGCGCGTCGAGCGTCATCGAGCCTTCCTCCTCCTCCCCCTCGTCTGGCAGCGTGGCCACCCTGCTGCGCAGTTTCGTCTCCGCCTCCGCCTCTTCCGAGGTCGCCGTGTCGCGCCAGTCACACATGCACACCCCATCATCCTCCTGCAGACTGCGGAAGTGGCGGCCCTCGCGCGCAGCGGCGAGCAACGCGGCTGCGCGGCGCTTCTCCGCCTGCCTTGCACGGTAGTCCTGCTCCTTTGACAGCCACGTCTCGTAGCCGTGCTGCGCAAACGGCCGCATCTTGTCCAGCACCGCCCGTATGCCAGTCTCCGCATCGGCCGCCTTCCTGGGAAGGCCGGCGTCGTCTGCGGAACACGTCGGCGGGGCATCGGGCACCCCGTCGCCAACTATCGCCACCCGCAGAAGCACCAGCAGGACCGTGGTCACGACGGAAAGACGCGTGTTGTCCTCCATGGCCTCGATGTTCAGCCCGCACAGCGCACTGAAGACGAGTTTGTGCGGCTCTGAGAGCAGCAACCGTGCCAGGGGAGCCATGTCAGCCAACACCTTCGCGTCGGAGATGACGGAGTTCTGAAACACCTCGCGGTGCGCAGTGGCGGTGCGCTCTTCGATCGAGCGCGACTCGTCTTGGGCATCGATGATGCGCGTCAGTTCTGCGTCACACGTGCGCTGGCGTCCGAAGAGCGGCGCACGCAGACGTCGTGGCGGACCCACCGGCGGTAGAGCAGCTCGTCCCTGAAGCAAGACCGTGTCGCTCGCTTCACGAAACAAACTAGGAAAAGGCCGCTGCTCCGGTGGCTGCCGATGCGGTGTCCGCGCGAGCGCCTGCACCAGCTCCTGCAGCAGCTCGGTGCGCTGCAGACCCTCCTTCGGCGCGAGACTGATCTCGCGGGCGTACTGCCGGGACGTGCGGATGATGTAGGCGATGCGCACCGCATCCCCGGAGATGATGTCGCTCGTCCGTCCGATACCTGGAGGGGCGGGCGGCAGCCGCACATCTTCGATGGAGTCGTCGACAGGCTTGGAGAGGTAGTTCCCACGGGAGCGCAGCCCCGGCGTGAGGGACAACAGCAGGGAGCGGAGGAAGAGGTGCGTGTCGACGCCGAAGGTCAGCAGGCGGCGCAGCACCACGCTTCCAAACGGCTCGTGCTCCTCGCGCTCGAGCGGTGGCCGCTTTAAGATCTCCTCGACCTCTTCGTGAACGGCGGAGAGGATGACGGGGTTTTGCCGGTTCGCATTGCTGATCGCCTCGTTCAGATGCGACAGGTCCACTTCGCCGGTCACGTACGTGCAGAGGGTCTTGAGGTTGCCACCGTGGTAGCGCACCAGTTCCCCCAATAGGGAGAACATATTCGACTGCAGCTTCGACGGTACCATCGACCCGTTCAGGCCCGAGATGCGCGTGCCGTTGTAGACGCGCTCCAGCATGGCGGGCATCAGCATGGAGCCGAGTGTGGTCTGCGGCGACGTCGGGTCATCGCGGTCATCAATGCCGTAGAGAAACGTACGAAGGTAGGACTCGAGCGTTTGGTAGAGACCGATGCGCACGCAGCTGTCTTCGCGGTCGCGAAGGATGACCGCCGCCATGGCCTCGGCGTTCCTGGCGGCGCTGGCCACCACCTCCTCGTCCGCCACCACCATCGCCTGCTCCGTGCGGTCCTGCGCGTTGCAGTACTCGTAGAGCCCGCGCAGCAGCTCCATTTTGCGCATCGTGTCGGGGCCGTGCTGGTGGTTGTCCAGTTCCTCCTCCGTCATCTGGTTTGGGTCTTTCAGGTAGGTGCTCGCGTTATCGCCGAGCAGCTCGAGGAATGGCACGATGCGCCAGTTCTTCGGGTAGGGCGGGAAGGAAAGCGCCACAGACTTCGCCGCTGCTGTCGCGCCGCACGACACATGAGGGTTGGCCGAAAGAGGCGACAAGAAACGCGGGAGGGAGCGCACCTCCTCGGAGAGGTTGACGTGGGGCGGAACGTCGACCAACGCTGGCAGGGTCGGGTCCAAGCCAAAGGCTGCCGCCATCATCGGCGCCGAGCGCGGCACCCAGCGACAGTCGCGCAGCAGCCGCCACGCATCACTGAAGTAAAACGTCGAGAGCAGCATGTTCAGCAGAAAGAGCACCTCGCTTTGCGATTCCACGATGCGTTGAACCCCGTAGACGTCGAGGCCGGCAATTTCGCGCACCTGCGGCAGCGCCTCAAACAGCTGCTGGTTCAGCCGTGTGTTCGCGCTGAGGAACTCGCTAAGGCTGACTTGGTGAACGCTGAGGCTCCACTGCCGTCGCGTCGCGTTCGCTATGAACTCGCGGCGGTTGTCGTCCCGCTGCGGCAGCAATGACGGGTCACACAGGCGCCAGCGCTGCCGTGTGTCCACGGCGCCGCTCCACCACTGAATCTCCATCGACGACTTAAACGACTGGTCCATCCCGTCTTCCTCGAGAAGATTGCGGTCGAGCATCCACTGCACCACCCGTGACGAATCCTCCGGTTGGAACTGGTTAGGTGCGGTGCGGCGGAGGAGCTCCATCTGCTCAGCGATGTTCTGCGACCCGCCGAGGCCGTTCAGCAAGCGCTCCAGCTCTACGTTCAAGTTTACGTCGGCCTGATTGCCAGGGGGGCCGGCGCCTGCCCCGTTCCCCTCCACTGCCTCCCCGAGGCCGTCCATCCGCATTGCGGAGCGAATGTACTCGGTCACGCTGGCTTGCGTAAACACATCCATGGGGGGCATCGGTACGAGGAGAGGCGCAGCGGGACCACGCGGCTGCTGAGGTGGCGGCTGCGGCTGCCGCGGTGGCTGTGGTGCCGCTGGTGTTGGACGTGCGGCCATGTTGCCGCCAATACGCGCCAACGGCGATCCTGCCGTGTTGTTTGCCGCTGCCGCTGCACCCTGACGGCCTTGAGGCTGCGAGGACGACGTCGGTAGAGCTGCGCGTGGAAGTGGCATAGATGCTGCGTTTTGCCGAATGCCGAGAAGGCGCTCAAGACCGGCGAAAAATGTCGGCAGTGACGAGCCGTCCACAAGAAAGTCCGCCGTGCCGTCGCTGGCGCCAGAAGCGCCGCTGCCCTCCGTGTCCTGCCAGGCCCCGTCTTCCTCTTCTCCTTCTTCATCGGCCTCATCGTCTTCCCACGCCGTCTCGCTATCCGCCGCGTCGGCCATTGCATTTTCAGGCCCCCCACGCTCACCTGTCGTGATGTTACCGTTCGCGTCGAGCGTCATCGTCGTTGCGACCGCGGGTGGCATCATCATCGACCGGCCGCCTTGCTGCACACGCAGCCCACTCGGTCGCAGCTCACACAAGCGGATGAGCGACCCCACAAGGCCTTCCTCGCCAATGAGCCACAGCACATTGCTGTCCACGACCCGCTGGACCTGTCGCAGCACGACAACGCTTTCGGGGTAGTGCAGACGGCGCGCCGCGATCGGGTTCTGCCCTTGCGCGAGGCCCGGCAAGATGAGTAGCGCTAAGAAACGGCAGAACGCCGCCAGCGCACTCAGCGACGCGCCACGCAGCACCTTCACCAGCGAGGGCGTCTTGCTAATTTCGATTACCGGCCCGACGCACGACAGGGCGTGCTCGAGCAGCCCGGTGGCGGACGTCCAAAGGGTGCTGTCCTCTAAGAATTCAATGAGGCGGTAGAAGAGTCCAGGGCAGCGGTCGTACAGCGCCCAGCCCAGGTCGTTCTGATTCGCGAGCAGATCCGTTAACTGCAGCATGATCTCCGAGTAGATGCCTAAAATGGTCTCGACGCTGCGCTGGAGGCGACGCTCTGAGAAAGCGCTGTAGCGCTGATGCCCCGTGGGTCGGTCCTTCAAGAAGTTGAGCGGGGTGAAGGGGTCACACAGAATAAAGCAGTAGACGTCGATCCCGCCAAACGCTAAAAACTCCGATGAGAACTTAATCTCCTCCTTACTCTGGATGAGGTCCCCTACGCGCACGAGCTCCTCGGTAAGCTCGTTGTAACGCCCCTCGCGCCATCGCGACCAAATGGCGTGAAGCGACAACTCCGTCGAGTTCTTGTGCAACTCCACATCGCTGAGGTGCCGGCAATACACAGGGGCCCGCCGCGGCGGCAGTGGCTCCCGCCCGTTCAGAATAGAGCTGCGCTGCAGCAGTATATTGTGCATTACTGATGAGGAATACTAACAATCGTAGCAGCAACAGTTATTACGGGCGCCGAGCACAGCACGTCAAATTCGGAAAACGTACAATTAACTAAACCGAGAAGAATTTTATAGAGGCAGCCCAGGCGGCTCGACAACAAAAGTCAGAGAAATACTCGCTTCGCGGCAAAGAGACCTCTGCTCAAAATGAAGGGGAAACGAATACGACAAAAAAAAAAGCGGCTGCACCGTGGTGTGTGAGCAACAAAAACATGTAATACCGCCTCTCCTTCTTAATGCCAGCCTTTCTTCTCAGCAGAATGCGCGGCTGCAGTAGGAGGCGAATTTTTTTTAAAAGGCAATGGAAGAAAACTTGAACGAGATACGAAACTGTGAATGATCCGTGAAGCGCAACGCTTCAGTGGAAACGACACGTTTTTTCGTCTTGAGGCACAACAAAACCACTCGATGTTTGCTTCTGAAGTCGCAACTAGAGGTGTCCTTGAAAACTAAGATGATTGAGCTCGCGTAATTTGAAAGCAAGCGTCAATTACGAAAGGACAAAGAAGCTACCAATAATGATAAAAAAAAGAACAGTTTCGAGCTCTTTAGCCGTTTGTTACCTCGATTTCCAGTAGTACGTACTATACAAGATGAAAATGAACAACAAAAAAGGATGTGTGCATAAAGGTATGCAAGCACGCTTCGAAACGCGTGGAAAACAAGAGGAGGAGAGGAAGAGAGGAAGAGAGGAGTAGAAGGGGAAGCAATGAACAGGACGCTTTATGTGGCGATGAAACGGAGAAACAGCAGCGCATTCGATGAGGGCAGAGTACCGTGCTTGGGCTTGTTTGTTTGTGTTGACTCTCTACTTACTGATCGGCTAACACGGCACCGCAACGAGAAGCGGTGGAGCATTGTTAACGCAGCGATTCGTCCCCGAAACCACCTTTCTCACAGTTAGGATTTTACGCCGCTATTTCGCATCATGCCGCAAAACAACGTCGCCGCCGTCGCCCGCACGGTCAGGCATTTTCAAAGTCGCGATTTGCTCTATTGGCAACGTGTTCCCTCGTTCTGCGCGCGTGGTATTTTCGCTGTGTGTTTTTTCGCTTTGCCCGTCCTTTGGTCTATAAGCTCACTAGCGTTACCTAACGTGCACCATGTTCAGCTTTATAAAAAAGAATGAAAAGAAACGTCTCCTCAGCAGAGGGTTCATCAAGATTCTTTTTCTCTAACAGTCTAAGGAGATAGTAAATCGAATGCAGGAGAAGTGAGGGAGGAGGGGAGGCGAACAGAAACGACAGAGCAGGAAAGAGAAATCTCGAAACGGCTGCTGATATATATATATATATGTATAAAGGCTCAAGGTATGATATCACTGAATCGCGCCACCGTTCAGTTTTCGCCCGACTGACATATGCAGTGCGGCACACGTAGCGCTTCGCCTCGATCGTTTACAGTGTCCTACTACCGTCGATCGTCTATGTGACCCTCCCAGCGTTCCATCTTCCCACCCACTCCCCTTCCCCCCGATCATCTTCATGTGCAGGCAAAGGAAAGTGAAACGTCAAAAGCGAGCGCGTGCGACAACACTCTACAACGCCAAAAAGGAAGTAAAGCAACACCACTTCGAAACCTGGAAGAGAACGGAAACAACAGCAACTGAAAACCCCCGAGTGTACTTCTATTACATGCCACACACGATAAAAAAAAAAGAAAAGAAAACGTAAAAGATGCTGCGTGTCAGGGGAGAATAAAAAAAAGAGGGAGCGGGGAAACAGCATTCTTGAGTGGAGGAGGCTCTTTTTCTTTCTTTGGTCGTCCAACTTCACCTTTGGGACGCCAAACGAACTGCTATGTCTACCTTCAACACTGTCAACACATGGTCGGGAGAGACCTTCGCGCGCCCACAGCGCAAGAAGGTAATAAAATCACTCGATGCACAACAAGAAGAAAAGAGAAAAGGGAAAAGAACGCGCTAAACAATCTACGAAACCGAAAAACAAATACACCTCCACGCAAAGGTGAACGAAACAGATTCGCCTTCACCGAATCTCAGAGGCAACGTGCTTTTTTTTTGTCTGCTTGTATCTCACACTCAAAACGATCCCCAATTAAAGAAAAAAAAAGAGGAAGAGAAAGAGAACGAGAAAGAGAACAAAAGCACGAACGTGTTGAACACCACGTGTGTGTTCCCTGTCGCTGGAACGATTCCTTTTGTGTCTTGTGGTATTTCAGTTGGCTAACCGGCAGCATCAGCATCACAAATACGAAAATAAAAGTCGCACTTCTTCTCCCTTTTCCACCTTTTCCCTCTACATTCGCCGTTCGATGCTTTAGTGCAAAAGAGAACTTGAAAACATAGAAGTGCGCTTCACACCAAATTCTAGAAAGCAACAGTTCGGTTCAGCACCGAAGCCAAGCCAACAGCAGCGAGACACAGACACAGGGGAAAGGAACAGCTGATAGGCAGCACGCCTTAAGCCAACCGTGCAGACGTTGCCGCACCCAACAATACTAGTTGAAACTAACTTCTTCCGACCAGTTGTGACACCTCTACATAGGAGTCCTTTTTTTCCGTTGTCGCTCGGTCGTTTCGTTTTTCTTAGAAGGCGTGCGAGATCGACTTGCGGCGGGGCGGCATCGAGTCCTGTGCCGGCGACGGTTCAATCCGCGGAGGGAAGTTCGGAATGCTCACCGACCGCTGCAGCTCGACGCCCTCCGGGTGGTGCTCTCCCGCCTCGTCGTTCGGGTGGGCGATCTCCGGCGGCACGTCCTGCGACACGTGCGGCGTCGTGCAGCGCTCCATCACCGAGCTGGCGGTGTTTTGGCTGAGCCGGCTCATCGAGCGTTGAAAAAAGTTCACGGTGGAGTTTTGATCCTGCCGTGGGATGCTTGCTTGCCCCGCAGCGGCGGCGTCGGCGGCGCTGTTCTCCGCGGGGCGGAACGGGCTCCGACTGGTGGCTTCGCCCTGGCCGGCCGCGCTGGCACCGCGTTGAAAAGGGGCACCGCTGCTCTGCGAAGCACCAGGACCAGCCTCAGGACCCGCAGCCGTGCCGGATGCGTTCTGCGGGGGAGAGCGGACGGCGGATTCAGTCCTGCTCGTGCGTGCAGGGGCGCCTGCGTTGTTTGCCGAGAGAGAAGCCGCACCGCAGTGGCACTCGCGACGCTTCTCGAGCGCCCCCACGCGTTCCGTCAACGCCTGCATCTGCATCCGCTGCTGCGCACACGTCGTCTGCAACGCATTGATGATCGTCTTGAGCACCGACACGGTATGCGGATCGCACGGGGTGTGGCCCAGCTCATCCATCAGCATGTCGACGTTCTGCTCAATCTTCTTCGCGGACACCGGCACGAGCTGGCCGGCCTCCGCAGCATGGGGAGCGCGGGCACTCTCGTCGGTGCGGGCCGTCCGCGGTGAGCGGGCTGACTCTGATGCCCGTGGGCCGCGCTCCCCATTCGCGGCGCGGGAGTTGCGGGAGGCCGAGCGGGCTGACGGCGGGGCGCTGGTGTCCGCCGCCGTCGCCACCTCCGCCTCTGAGTTGCCGCGGTGGTGATGGTGGCGGCGGTAGGGCGCGCTGCCGCTGCGGTGGCGGCTGTGACGCGATGAGCTGCGATGCGGCGCTTCGCCATCCGCGACGTCCTCGCGCTCGCTGCGGTGGCTGCGAGCACGTGAGGAGCGGCTGCTCTCTCGCCCGCTGCGGTGACGCGAGGAGGCGGTGCGGCTCGCTGGCTGCGACTCCCCGCGTGCTCGGGACTGCACCCGCGACGTCATGCGGGACTGCCGTCGCGACTGCGCGCGCGAGTAGCGTCGGAGGCTCTTCGTGGCGAGGTAGGCGTCGCGATCGTCTGGGCCGACGTAGACAGGGTGCAGGTCGCGCTCCTCCTCCCGCACCACGTTGCCCTCATCCACCTGCGCCGCGATCGGCTGGCAGGCGTCGGTGACGATTGCCGCGATGGAGCTATTCTTGTCCTGGATGGCACGGATGAGAGGCAGGGTACTCTTCGGGCTCAGCTTCCACCCGTACACATCCAGCAGCAGCAGCGTGTGGTTTTGCGGTACTGCTCCCAACACAGCCGCAGCGGCTTCAGGAGACGGATTCATGAAGCCCAGGAAGAGCTGGATCAAGGAGGTGTTGTGTGCAACGACGTCGGCGAACTTCGTGATTGTCTCGCTGTCGAGCTGGTTGTGGCGGAGGTTCAGCCGTTGCACCGTGCAGGAAGGGGAGAGGAGGGCGCGCGCGAGCTCCTCGCCGCCGCCGCGACTAATGCGGTTCGCCGTGAGATCCAGCGTGGAGAGGCAGGACGCGCGTGGGATGCTGCGCGCGAGCTGCGTGGCGCCCGTGTCGCGTAGTGCGTTGTAGCCGAGGTGCAGGTGCTTCAGCTTCGGCGCCGCGCGGACGGCCTCGCCGAGGTAGGAAGCCGCATCTCCTTCGATCTTGTTGTTGTGGAAGCTCAGCTCGACGATGTCGGAGAACGGCTTCTGCAGTGCCGCCGCGATTGGGATGACACCGAGCTTTGTGATGCCGTTTTCAGACAAGTCCAGCACCTTCAGCCCGCACCCGCTGCGGGAGAGGGTGTGGCCAATGATGACGGCGGCCTGATCCTTCAAGTTGTTCCTACCAAGACGCAGTTCGCGAATGCGGTTCGGGTTGGCCTCGATGGCCTCCATCAAGCCGGTGATGCCCTGCAGACCAAAAGAATTTTCTTCCAGCACCAGCACACGCAGCGCACAGTCCTCAGCAAGTACGCGCACCACCTCGGCGACGCAGCACATGTCCACATCGTTGAGGGGCACCTCGCCTTGACCGACAGCCGCGGACTTGGCATTGGTGTCGAGCGCGTGCACGAGAGCGTTGGAGCATTGTGCGTGCTCGCGCTTGCAGGCGCTGATGTAAACCTCAGCGTGCGCACAATGAGCAGCGGTCATGGCGATGTTGATGACTGCGTAGTCGCGTTTTATACTCTAAAAAAAAAGACTTCTTTGTGCCTGATGAGGCCCTTTCCTTTGTGACCGAAAACAAAAAATTACCGCCACAGTAAACGACGACGAAAAAAATTCCAACACACAAATGACCGGGAAAAGAAAAAAATGCGGGATTGTCGCACCGTACTCCGTTTTGTGGAGTGGGAGGTGCGTCGAAGTAAAAAGTCAATAAAAGACCCTGAGATGTGATACCGCTCTAGCGCCGGTCTCGAACGTATTTGAAGGAGAACAAAAAAGAAATGGAAAAAGAAATAGAGAACAAAGAAAATCAACCGAATGAAAACGTGCGTGTGTGTGTGGTTTGATTTTCTACCGATATCTACGTGTGTGGGGGGGAGTCAGTTGCACCGTTTTCCAGGAACGTGGTTGTTCGTGGCGCACCAAACAGCTTGACGCCGCCAATTTGTTTCGTCAGACGCGACAATGTAGCGAGTGGGAAGGGAAGGAAGAGAAAGAGAGATCATGGACGGAAGGAAACGGACGACAGGGGCCAATGTTCTCGTCGCCGCCCCGTCATTCGTGAATAGCGGTATGGTGTAGAAAGCTAAGTAGCTTTTTTCTTTTTTTTAAGGGGAGGGGAGACTGTGAAAGCCTAGAGAGAGAGAGAGAGAGAGAGCTTCAACTGCGCCTCCGAGCATCACGTTTTCGCTTCCCATTCCTTCCGTCTGCGTATACGAAACTCAGCGAGTTGGAAATGCTCCACTATTAAGCTTTTCCTTTTCTTCTTTCTGTGTCATCCGGACAGGCGTTGCCGCCGCACCGGTGTCAGCACAAAGAGAACGTTGTGCCGCCACGCATACAACACGCATCTTCGAAGAAGACAACAACAACAAAATAGGAGAGGCGGTGTACAAAAGACAAAAACAGAAGTGTGAGAGTTCATGGTGAAAAATCAGGATGATAAAGAGAGAAAGGAGAAGAGAGAAAAACAGGGAGTGAAGAACAAACAAGAAGTGGAGATCCGAATCCCCGCACTCGCTACGGAGCCCTGACCTCGGATGTAAAAGGCTCGTGAAAACGCACAGCGGGAGTCGTGGAAGATGTAGGACAATGAGGATAGGTCACCGCTTCCGCCGGTGGTGGGCATTGTTGGCGCGCGAGCACCTCTGCTCTTTCACGCACAACGCTGCGCTCCGATGGCAACAGCCGCCACGCTGAGGTCGCGTAGAGAACGACAACTGCGATCACCATGAGTGCCACATATCTGTATTGGGGGATCAGCAGCACGCAAAGAATGAGGTAGATGAACACGATCGCTAAGCAGATGTAGTAGATGACCTTGCAGCACGTGCTTGAGCAGCACGATGGGAAGCACATGGCAACAGGCGCGCTGATAGTGGCGACTCGGCGAGATTCCTTGTAAAAGTGATGAGCGACAACTGACAGGGGTGAAATGAAGTGAGCAGATGGAGGAGTTCTTGTGTGCACGGTGTTTTGTCTGTTAGTATTGTTAAGCGCGAGGCGGCAGGCCTTCGTGTCGGTTGTTTTATAATGCGTGGTGGGCACCTCAGCTCAAAGAGAAAAAAAGGATAAGGGAAAGTAAGTCGAGAAGTGCGGTCCACGCAAGAAATCAAAAGCAGAACTGGCTGCTGACATCTCCCAGCCGGTCAACGGTGCAACGTCCCCGCACACACGCCTAGACACAGAGATGCGGCTTAAAGAAGAAGGAAAGGTCAACACCTTTTTCTTTCTTCCTTTGCATCGCCGACGTGTTGAAGTCGTCGATTGACGAGCTGGCCGTTTTCCTCCTTTCAAAGCTGAAAAGGGATTTTCAAACCCGATCACTTTGCGAACACGTAGAAAACGCCATGCGTTCCGTTATCACTGGCATCGCGTCTTTCAGTATTTACTATCTTTTTCTGAAGGGGGTGGGGGAGGAGGGGCGTGTGGTGCGCTGATGCGGCGACATGAGTGTGGTGAAAGGATGTGTTTAGCATGTACAAAAAATAACAGTTGTGGGAGGTGAATGGATGAGGTGGCAAGAGCAGGCAACGCCCGTCGCGCCCCTACGCAACGGCCGCATAAACGGGGGTAGGAGCAGAACGCGGCCTCGGGTGGCGCAGCGTCGACAACTCCGTCATCTCCGTCTCCGCCGGCAGCGCTCGCTTCTCTGCGAGGGCGTAATAGCCACCGCACCGCTGCGACACAATCTCGTCGGCGAGCTTCTGCACGCGCTGCTTCTCGGCAGGCAGGTGACGCCAGAGCGAGAAGACAACGAAGAGGATCAGCGCTGCCCAGATGATGACGGGGCCACGCCACGTCGGTGACATCGCGATGACGTAGCCGCCAAAGGCGTACAACACCGCCAACCCACACCAGTAGGTGGCAGTGAAGGCGACAGGAATGAGGCGCACATCCAGCGGGTCCACCTCCGCCGCGCCGCCGCGAGCGGAGAAAGGCGGCTCAGGCGGGGGAGCGGAGAGGAACGTACTCGGTGCCCTCGCCTCCTCCACGGGTGAGGTCTCCACCGTCTGCACGAAGGAAAAGGGAGAAGGCGCGCGTTCGTACGGAGAGTGCGGCGAGGACAGAAGGGAGGCGGCGTGGGACATCTCAGCGGCAGAGAAAGATGAAACGGCGTCGCGTGTTTGGTTGTTTGATTTCTTGTGTGTGTGGAGGATCAATTCTCGCGGAGAACACGCAAATAAAAACACAGCAGGTGAACAGAAAAATGGGGATGTGGTGAATTGACGAAGCAGCAAGGCGGGGAAACCTGAATCGGATGTTCTGAAGAAAGAGCAGAGAGAGGGAAGGAGAGAGAAAGAGCAGCAGGAAACAAAGATGCCTAGTAAAAGTCAACATGGTACTCGTCAACGTCGCCTTGTGAGCAGGCGATGAAACGTTAAGCACGAAAGGGGCTGGAAGCATTAAAAAAAGCGCATCTCTCCGAGGTTCGCCGTTGTTGCTGCTTCAAATGAAGGAATAATTAGAACGCCAATCTATCTACGGAAGGGTGAAAAGCCATACTCTTCTCTCAACCACGCGACAACGGAGAGTTGGCAGTTGTGCTAACGACACCATTTTCGGTAAGTCTTGTAGTCGATGTTGCTGGTTTTTACTTTCGTGCCTTCTTGCTGCCCCCCAATGGTGCCTAATTGCTTGATCTATGGTTCGAAATAACTGTCAGCTCAAGACAGAGGCGCTAGAGCTGCGGATTTGCTGGGCCACCCCATCGTCTTCGCCTTGTCATCGTCCACACAAACAGACCAAAAACAAAAATGGGATCCAAAGCCTGCGGCGAGGTAAACTGCTCCGTAGAAGTTCACTATAATAATACGGGGAAACGAAGCCCAGCGAGAGGACGGCGAAGACGCTACGCAATGTATTGTGGCGCTCCGTTCGTCTCCGTCGCAACCACAAAAGGCAAAAAAAAAAAACAAGTGTATCACCAAAAGTACATAATAAGAACAACAATAATAGTAGTAACAGTTAAGGAAAAAAAAACAAACGCTAAACGAAAAAGGAAACAATCCCGTTTCGTCTCCTTCACGCACTTTTTTCCCCTCCTGAGAACGACAAGAAAAAACAAAAAAGTGAAGCAGTAAAACAAATCAAGTTACTAAACCGACACCGTGCGCCGCTTCGTCTGCACAAATATATAAACAAAAAAACAAAGGGGGAGAGGCGTCGAGGGCAAAAACAGGGCGTGAGTGTATGATTCGGTCGTCGTCAAACGTGAGGAAAAAGAGGGGATTAAAAAAATAGTACGTGAAGAAAAGATCCAGCCACAAGACGGCGTTAAAGTATGCAAGGCATCAAGATCTTCAGGAAGCGAACAAAATGAACTTTAGTAAAGGTAAGAAACCAACAGCTGCGTCAACGAAAAATATACTGAACGGAAATAGAAACAGAAAAAGAAGGGGAGGCACCGTGAGCCCCAACAAACAAAACAGTACAACGAAAAGGACAGAAGAGAAATTGAACTAAGTAAATTGCATCGCCTTTTTTCCCTAACTTAGCTTTTCCCTCTTTCCCCCTCTGTAAAGCGTCGTATTTTCATCACTTGATCTCTATCAGAGAATGACAGACGCAAAATCATATGTATTTTTTTATATAGACGTGTGCCTGTTGATATGTCTGTTTATCGGAGTAGGTCGTCACTACGCACCTTATAGTCTTATCTGTTTATCACACGTGTCCTGTAGACACAATGCGCATACCGAAAGAAATTTGGGTGACGAAATGAAAAAGAAAGAAAAAACAAGGCGCACTTTGAAGAGCGGGGCCGTTCTTCATTGTTATACGCAACATTACAGCCGCTCAGTCACTTCGCCACACTATCGGAAGATGGGAGAATTGAACAGTACGTTTACGTCGTATACAATGATCCGGAAAAAGCGAAAAGAAGAGGACGTATATAAAGCAGACACAGAGGCCATCTGTCAAGTGTTCAGTACTCACGCTCATAAACAATGAATTACTCTTCTTTCCAAAGGAAGGGCGTTTCAACTTAAATAATGAAAAATAAGCGCCGCCCTCAAGTCTCTGTGAATCCGAAAGAGAGACAGAAGAAACTAGAAGGAAAACCCTTCGCATCGATTTAAGGACTAGAAAAACAAAAGAAAAAAAGATAGAGGAGATTGTTTCGCTGTTGTTGTCGTCTTCAGTCCTCTTGCGGAGAAAAGCCTGCAAATCCAACCTAAACAGCTGGTGCGCAAAGTCCCTTCCTTCCCCCACCAGCCCAATAAACGCACTTTAATATACAATCGAAAACCAATAGATTGAAAACACAGGTAAAACACACCTTATCGCTGTGATAGTAATTTCGACAAAGCATTTAGAAGCACACACACACACTACAAATACAACAAGAGCAGTACACACTAACAAAGCTTTCAGCGAAAAAAAAAGAGAGAAATGGGATGAAAGAGAAGAGTCAACACGAAATAGAAAAAACTTAAGCGGTCATTGTAATCCATCTTGAAAGCAAATGAAGAAAAACGAGCCTATTTATCTACCGAATGAAATGCGCAGCACATGCTTACTCAAGGTAATAATAAGTCGATTAGCTATTCTTATTCAAAAAGGAAACACACGCGAAAAAAAAAGAGATTGAACTACTCCGAAATCTGTCTGCCTGCAGTGATCCACGACAAAGAAAAAGAAAACTATCAAATATAGTTTAATGCTCCTTCAGCACAACAGTGCATTTGCGACTTGTTACTTCGTGGCAGTCTCGCTGTCCACAACAGGGAAGTCCCTCTGAATGCCGCCGGTGGTCAGGAAAGGTCCGCGGCAGAGGCGTGATGGGCGAGAACATGCACGGATGGCCAGCTAAATCAGCGGACCTCTCCTCTATACTATCGCCGCTCTCGGTGGTGTCAGTGGCACGGGCTTGCGAGGCATAGTGCTTTCCGTCATTCTTCGAAAACTCAGACGCCCGCCCTTCTGCCGTCTCTGACTGTGCATCTTCCAGGTTTGGCGAGGATGCGGTGGCCACCAACGACACCAACGGCGAGGTGTTCGTGAGCACAACTGCCGTATCCTCCGTCTGTGTCACCGTGGTGTCCTCCTGTACCTTCGTAGCGCTCGCCTCCTCCGTCGGCTGCCCCGTCGCGTTGCACAGCGACCCGCGTCGGGAACCGTCAACGTTGCTGCGGTCCGCCGCAATGCGGTCCGCTTCTCCGTCGCGGGGGGCGTCCGTGGACGGCGCCGCAGACCACGCCCTCGCCTCGGCCGTCATGGCCGGCTGCGCGCTGGACGGTGGTGATGGCGCGATCGTCGCGAGACTCGGCGCCGCTGGGGAGGAGGTGAAGGAGCCGTCTGACAGCTCCCTTCCGAGTAGCGCGAGTGGTGCTTGAAGGTCTGCCAGTGAGGCGTTGTGCTCCAACACGGCATTGCCCACAAAGGAGTCGCGCATGAGCTGGTCCACCGCACGCACGTAATGGCGCAGACCGGAGCCGGGGATCGATGGCATGCCTGTGTTTCCACTGGGGTGCGTGTCGGCCTTCCTGCAAGTCTCGTGTTCCCGCCCGTGCCGGGGGTGGCTTGCGGGGGATGTGGAAGAGAGAGGGGTGGCACCCGTCATGATGTGTGAGTGAGGAGCCAGTGGCCGCTGAGAGACGTGCCGTTGTTGCTGCCCGTGCTGCGTCAGGTGGGAGCGACGCAGCGGGGTGGACAGCAGAAAGGCCACGTAATTGCGCACCACCTCCGGGAGGGGAAGATCGACGAGGTCGCGTCTCAAAACGACCCGCACCGCGACAGCCACTACGCACAGCGCAAAGAAGCCAACGAAGCGAGCCACGATGCGGGTGGTGAGAAACAAACCGTAGACGTAGCGCATCCACCAGTAACTCAACTGATCGTCGTCGCGTAGAGTGTTGTTCGTAGACACGCTGCTGCCCGCATCCGACGAGGACCGTCGTGCCCCCTCCGTGAGAGCAGCGTTGACATCGCGGGCCACGCCGTGCACGTGTGCCGTGCCATCCGCATCACCGTGATGACCGTCCCCTCGACGCTCGTCGTCGCCGTCGGCGGAGCTGTCAATAGAGACCATAGAGGTGGACACCGACCCTTGCCGAAGCAACTCGCACCTCGGCGGGGCCCGCTCTGCAGAGCTCGCAGTGGGAGAGACGAGAAGAGAAGCCGCAGTGCGTGCCGCGACGTCTTCGCCCGGCTTCAGATTTACCCCCTCCACGTTGTCGCCACTTTGCATTGGGGTGCTGTTCGCACTGCTGCTCTGATAAAAGCCGTCATCGACGATTTCTTCGTCGGACGGGATCGCGTCAATGGGCGGGCAGTCCTCCGACAGCGACTGCGCGATCGCGTCGGAGGAGTCGTGAAGAGGGTACTGCGCCGGCGCCGTCACGGCAAAGTTGTGTGTGGAGGCGGACGCGGAGCGCACCGACGTCGACCGCAGATCAACGCGGAGGGCAGCCATCCAGGGGTGCTGCAAGAGCTGCCTCACCGACCATCGTGCCACCGGGTCCACGCACAGCATGTGGTGTAGCATGTCTTCCACCTCCGCCGGGATGGGGCGGGGAATACGGAAGCGAGTGGTGGTGATCACCTCCAACAGGTTGTCGGGGTCCTGGTTGGCGCAGCGGAAGGGATGCCCGCCGAATAACATCACGTACAGGGTCACACCGGCGGCCCACACATCCACCTTTCGTCCGTCGTAGCGCGGGTTCTCACGCAGCAGCTCCGGTGCGCAGTACCGCAGGGTGCCACAGGCGCGGTGCAGCTCGGCTCCCGGCGGCGCGTGGCACGCAAAGCCGAAGTCGGACAGCACAAGTCGCGTGCGGCGCTTGTTAAGCAGAATGTTCTCCGGTTTCACGTCTCGGTGTACCACGTCGCGGTCGTGCAGCGCGGACAGGGCCAGCAGAAGCTGCTTGAAGAAGTGCTGCACTCGGTCGTACTGCATGACAGTCGGCACAGCAGAGCGCAGCGAATCGGACATGTCACGGCCGATAGAGAGCGAAGCCTGCCGCACCTTCAGTTCCTGTCGCTGCTCCCGAATCAGGTCCAGCAGCGTGCCACCCCCTGCCAGCTCCATCACGAGATAATAGTTGTGCCTAGAAACCATCTTGTCGACCAGCTTTGTTACATACGGGGAGCTTCCAACAACTTCCAACGCGTTTACCTCACGAATGAGGGCTTCCTTCATGTGATTGTCCGACGCCACATTTTTGTCGACGATCTTCATGGCGTACGAGCGGCCCGACGACAGCTCGGTGCATCGGTAGACCGTGCTGAAAGCCCCGACTGCCAGCGAGCCATCGAGACGATACTGCACCTTGTCACCTATCACTTTCCCAGACTCCATCGGCTTAAGGGAGCGTCGACGATGTACTCCGCGATGTGGAGATGCACGCAGAAGTAAAAACAGAACCGCACAGAAGGCTTGACGTTGTCCGTCGACAATAGTAGAAGACAAGCTGTTGGCAGAAACTATGAAGGAAAAATCGGCTACCTTACCTATCCGAGAGCAAAGCGCAAATATTGTTTTTTTTTTCGTAGTATGAGCTGGCGACACTTCAAACTGAAGGCCGACTGTAAACGACGGTTTCGTTGGACGTACGCTTCAGGAACTTGTCGAACGACTATTCAGTTAGGCAGGAACGTCTCCCGCTGGCTTAGGAAATGCAGTTTTGCTCCCCTTTTACCTTTCCTTTCCTCTTGTTGTTCGTGTTGCCGTGGCCCCAAAAACTGTGAGGACGGCTGCACGCGAGAGGAAAAGCGAAGAGGAGGGCGGAAAGGATGAAAGCGAGAGGAAGAGCAGAACTAGAACAACACAAGATAAATAACAATTGCTTACGCTCACCGAAGATTGGAACACGGGTGAAGAAGTATAGAGTTAGAAAGGCGTAGAAGAGGAAAAAAAACCTGTTTGGTGCGGTAGTTTTATCGCAAACCGCAGCAAGACAAAAAAGCACACGCAAACGAGAGAAAAACGTTTCTCAACAAAAAAGTGAATTGTCGCTGACACAAGCAAAGAGGCCGAAAGGATTGAAGCAGCAAAGATAAAAATAAACGAATGTAATAAGCGAAATAAAAGTGATCGTTACCGCGGAGCAAGAAAATAATAGTAGTAATGGCAATAGTAAAATTTCGCAAGCTGCGTGTCGCCCCGCTAGGTTCCCTGCGTGGGTGCAAACGACTGTACAGACTGCCTGTTCAAATGAGTCGCGCACACGACACGCAGTAGAATCACTCTCTCCCTTGTCACACCTTTCCTTTAGATATGATTACTGTTGTCTTTAAGAGGAAAAAAAAACGCGTTAAATGCGATTCCGAATTCCCGAATTTTACTTTTCGCCGCTTTACGGAGTCCGAGAGTGGTTTGTCAAGAGACAAGAAAAAGGTCCGTTTTCCTCCTGATAGAGCAACTGAACCCAAGGTAAGACTTTTCGTTTCCGCTCGTCTTTATCGCGCGATTACAAAACAAAAGTGCTCTACCAATCCGGCGGCTTGTGATCACCTGCTAAGCAGAAGAGCTCAGAAACAAACGTATAGAAGTGTTTACTGTTACGTGATTTTGATTGTATAAATCTATTTTAATTTCGAAAGAACGGAGGGAAATAAATCGAGAAACGCTTGCGAGAAGCCAGCAGAGAAACATAAGAAAATGCAGAGGGCAGCTACGTATGAATAAATGGAGCCTGAAAGACGTTGATAGTATCGTGCTATCGCTTCCTCCTTCTCTTTTTAAGATGGCTGCCGTGCTACGTTTATTGTTATCACAGCTTGCTCTTTTATCGTCAGCAACCTCAGACAGGAGCGTTGCTTGACGCAGAAAACGTTTCTGTTACGAAAATAATTGCCCTCAAGCACCTCCCTTCCTAGATGTGCGTGTGTCTCCGTGTGTGTACGTGGGAGGGATGGGGAGGTGTTATATCATGCGGTCAGACGTTGTGGATGGACTTTGACTTGTAATACGATAGACTTTCTACAACCTTTTCTTTTCCTTACGTGGTGAAAAGAAGTTACTCAACTAAGGGAAACAACGTCGTAAACAAGAGAAGCGTGCAAGCACGAACGTGTCGGTGAGCAACACGACAACGTAGAAAGAGAAGGCAAACGACAGATGCAACAGGTGAGGCCGAAATATATCAGAGGGGAGCAACAAAAATATTCCTCTCACACAAATCGAATATGAAATGAGTGTGAATAGAAAGGACAAAAAAAAATACCTGCCGAAGCTATTCAGATGCGTTTCCGTCACAGCGCAGTTAATCCTCCACTGCTCAGAGAGGCGTTGAGGACGAGAGAGTGAGACGCGAAACAGCCGTTATAAAATGAGTTGCAGTGTGAATAGATGCAACTTCATTGAAGATATCTGCTTCGCGCTGAAAGCAATAATTCCTTTTTATTTTGTGTTTAGCAGGTGCGACGCGCGTTTCAGAGTACGTGGCCATAAAAACCCCGTTACAGCCAGCAGTGTAATGTCACATTAATTAAAGTCACTTAAGTGCAATAGACCCGTATATTTTCGCCGTTCCCTTTTTTCTTTTTTGGGGGGAAGACGATTAACGTACTCTGTTCGTAGGTCGTTGAGTGGAGAGGCAGAAAAGGAAAACCCAACCTTGCCTGCTTGGTGCGAGGCTGATAGGCAGTATTCCGCGAAACTTCATTGCCGGCAAGAGTTGGTCTTGGACCACTCCTAGCATTCCTTTCGTTTCAGTTTTCACCGTTGGGTCTCTTGAACAGGCCGTCGCGCAACATCTTCAAAAAACCGGCGGCGTCAGCGTTCAGCTCCAGCAATTCAGGATGCATCAGCTCCAGCGGTAACCCTCGCTTCGTCAGCGTATCGCCGCACGTAACAAGGTCACTGCTCTCCGATGCAATGACGCAGTAGTGCTGCACATCACGGAAAGGTTTGTTCGAGTCGGGAGAGCTGGAGGAGTCCGCCGCTGCGGCGTGCAGTCGCTGCGTCATTGTGACCACGTACTGATTCCAGTGCGCGGCATCGCGGAACATGCGGAAAAAGTTGAGCGTGGCCGCCCCGTTTCCGCTCTCCACCTCGTCCTCGTCGTCCTCCTCAGTGTCGGCCTCTTCTTGGGCGTCGGTGTCGCTATTCGTGGACGTGCCCTCCATCGTTGAAAGAGTCGCGGCAGACGTCGAGCCTTGACTCCCGCCCGCTTCACCCGCCGCGCTCTTCAGCAACGGCGCCCACAGCGGCCACACTGCCGTCGTGCCGAGCAGCTCGTCCCACACCGCCTCGGTGCGCTGCACCACCTCGAACACCCGCGACTTCGCACTTAAAACGTAAATCGGCAGAGAGGGTCCGTCGAACAGCAGGTCGATGGTCAACAACAGCGTCAGATGCTCCGCCGGATGCTGCACACCGTGGCCCGCGCTGCTGCACCCCACCGATTGCGACGAAGCGGCACCCCTTCGTTTAAGAAATCGCGCGACAAGCCGAGAGATGAAATCGGGATCGACTTCGCGCGTCCGCTCCAGCAGCGCAGCCTGCTCAATGCGGCGCTGCATGCGCCGGAAGTTCTCGTCGTGCTCATCCTCTGTCCACGCCATTAACGAAGGAAAGCACACGTCCGTCAGGCGCTGCCCAATGCCGGTGAACGACAGCGAGGCGGCCGTGTCGTCCGTCACCCACGTTTGCGTTTTCGTGGAGAAATGCAGCGGGTACGGGAGAATCGCCCGCATCTCGCTCGCGCCCGAGCCCGCCAGCGACCTGGCAAGCGAAAACTCCAAATACAGCAGCGACGGCGACCCAGGGCAGTGTGGCGGCCCTGATGCGGCGGCCTTCATCGCATTCATTTGCGCGTGCACATCCTGCAAAAACTTGCACGAGTTCCGCATCAGCAAGAACACCTCACGGGTGCTGAAGAGCGTGGGCGAGCGCGACGGCACCACCCAGGCACCATCGTCCGCCACGACGTACCGCCCGCACAAGACGACCCCGTCGCCCGCCCAGTCCTCTTCGGCAAAGACGCGGCGGACCCAATTCACCACGCTGTGGAACCCGGGAACGGGCTCGAGTGCCTCGACCTCGCCATCGCTGACGGCGGTTTCTTGAGTAGATGACGTCTGCGGCGGTGCAGACGCCTTCTTTTTGTCTGCCGCCTCCCTTTCCCATACTTCCTCTCCCACATAGGTCTCGTACTCTTCTGGAGGTTGGGCGTAGGCACTCAGATGCGGGTGGGAGGGCAGGCGGGTGTCGTTGGAGTCTAGATAGTGAAAGAAGGAAACGCCCTCCTCCTCTTGATCTGTCTGCGCTGCATCGGTCGCTTGACAAACAGGGACGCGAAAGGTGCAGTGAGGAATGGCATGACGCTTTCCATCGGCGGAGAACACGATGGAGAGAGGAATTCGCGACTGCATCGGCCTCGCAAAGGATGAGTAAAGCTGTTCTTGCGCATCAGCCAAGCATATAGCACGTCATCATAGAGAAAACTCAAAAGAAAAAGGTAGAAGGCGGTATGGACAAATAGAGAAGCGTTGACTTTTTTTTCCCTTTCGTTCGTCATTCATAATGACATAAGCACGCGTTAGCTCTTTTGCGCTGCATTCGCGGTTAAACCACGATAGGCACGTCAGCTCTAAAAAACTTTTGTAGCGCTCTCGAGTATTGCATTTCATCGTCACGTACACGAAGTGGTGTTTGTGGAAGAAGTAGATTTTAAAGAATAATTTTTCGATCCCGAATAGATACCGGTCTAAGGAAACAAAGAGTGCAAAAAGGGAATATCTAAAAGGTCAGTTCAGTGAGCAACAATGTAATAACTTGAGCCAGAAAAGAAAAAAAAAAGATGTGGTAGTAGTAATACATGCCGATTTCTTTCAAGCGGCTGTGCAACTTGTTCTATTCTTTGATCTGCATTCCGTTCAATTGAAGGCGGACAGCGGTAGCCTACAGGTGCTGCGCGAGGTACTCTTCGTACATTTGAATCTTCTCCCCCATCTCCTGCACCACGTGATCCTGCTCCGAGTACACCCCCGTCTCCAAGAGCTTCTCGCGGTTCATCTTCAGCTGCTGCACAAAGCTCTTCATATCCCGGCGTGCCGCCTGCGTTGTGGACGACGCGTCCGCCAACACGGCCTCGCGGGACAGCACAAAATCTTCCGGAGTCGGCGAGACAGGAAAGCGGGAGGGGCGCGCAGCACCTTTTGCCGCCTCTTCCGCCGTGGCGCCATCGGTGTAGAGGCCGCGCTGCTCCGGCGCAAGAGGCGGCAGCGTCCCCGCTCGCGCCGGCGGCAGTGGCGCCACAGCGTGTGCATCGTCACCGTCCATCACGAGCGAGTGCGTCCACGATTGCAGCTCCACGCGAGGGTAGTAGCTTTCGATGGACGTGTCACCCATGTCCACCACCACATCCCCACCCTCCGCCCTACGAGTCGGGCGCGTGTCGGCGGTCGGTGGTGTCGGCGAAATAAAAGACGTCTGCGCCGCTGAGGGACGCGCACCGGGAATAGCGGAGAGGGCGGCAGACACGGAGGACATCTCGTCCCTGGCCACCTCATTCTCCGTGTACGCGCTGTCATCTGCATTTCTGCCCAGGACGGAGAGCGCTTGCGTGCTCCCTGCGGCAGTGGTCGCCGCAACCGGAGTGGTGTTGGTCGGGGGCTCGCAAGATGGTCCGTTCTTCTCTGCTTCGTTAAACCGCCTGGCACTTGCCGTACTCAAACTTCCTGCTGTTGCGTTGCTCGGCAGCTTTTCAACGATCTTGAGCGGTAAAGGTTGCGCAAGACGACCGTTGTTGTGACTGCCGTTGTTTTGCGATACGGCGGTGAGACCTGTCGTGACCTCCTGCTTGAGGGCGGAGAGCATGTTGTAGAACTCGTCTTTGCCCTCCACTCGTGCCACGCCCCCCGCCCCCGCTGCAGAAGTACCCCACAAAGAAGGTGTGTTCGTAGGCTGAAGCCCACGCAGTGCACCGGGGTACGCCTGACCTCGATTGGCATAGAGCGCCTGCGTCCGCTTCGCCGCATCCAGCGCATCCTGCTCCTTGCGAAGTCGCTCCCACTCCCGCGTTTGGCTCTCCTCGTGTAGGCGACGATACTTGCGCGTCGTCACACTCAGTTGCTGCGCCGTCTCGCGCAGTTGGCCTTGCAAACGTGCCTTGTCCTCCGCCAGCCGCTCCGCATCTGCTGTCTTATCCCGCAGCAGGCGCTGCACCTCGGCCAGCTGCGCGTGCGCCAACGCGAGGGCACACTCCTGCTCGCGTACCCGCTGCCCGTCCGTGTCCGTTTGCTCGGTCAGGTACCGGGCAGCTCGCCGGCGCAGCAGCTCGTATTCGGACTGCGCGGACGAGAGTCTCTCTTGTAGTTGTGCGACGATATGATCCTTTTCTTGCAAGCGTGCCTGCAAGCTAGACTGTGTCAGTTGCGCCTCTTCGCGAGTGCGGCGCTCGCGCTCCTCTACCTTCGCAACGTACGCCTCGTGCTGCTCCGCCACCTTCACTCGCTTTACGCTAAACGCCGCCTCACGTGCCTCCAGCTGTGCTGCGCGCTTCTCAAGCGTCTCCTCAGCGAGTTGCAAGCGTTGACCCATCGTTTCGAGCTCTTGACGAAGAGCCTCTAACTCCACCAGCCTCTTCTGCTCTGTCTCTCGCGCCTGCTTGTGCAGGCGACGTTCGAGGTTCTCTTTGGCCTGCCGGAACTGTGCCTGATAGCGCAGCTTCTGCTGTGCTTTCCACACCTCAAGATCGAAGGCGGCGGCGTACTCATCGGTGTCGCGGATGGCGTCGCCGATGGCAGCGGAGGAGGACGGCACTGCCATAGGGAATAATAGAGGAGTGTGAGGGAGACGACTGTCGCTTTGTGTGCGTGGCGTCCTTCTTTTTGTTTCTTCCGCAAAAAGCAGTATTTGCTTGATGCGCTGCGGAGTGAAAGAAAGCGTTGCACAATGTACAACGGCGGAAACGGCGGCACTAGGGAAATGATAAAAAGGGAAAGAGAAAGAGGAGAGAGACACACACACAAAGGTGAACAAGTCGCATTGCATGCAAGACGAACGCGCTACTAGACGCAACAAGAGAGGTATTAAGAAAGGGAGGGGGGAAAGCGGCGTCGTCTAAGTGTCTTTACCGCGCTGAAACTTCGCCGCTGAGCACGGAGCACGGAGCAGGCAGTGAAAGGCAGCCCAAACGAGGCATCTGTGCCACAGGCGCAACGAGATGCACACAAGCACAGATGACTTGAGCCTCCCAATGAGACTCTATAAGGAGGCTCGTTTCGCGCTTGACAACGCACAAGAGCTGTGTGCAACCTTTGAGGAGTGATATATATTTATTTGTTTTTTCGTTCTTCTCGACGCAAGACAAAAGTCATTCACACGAAAAAGGAAGAAGAAGAACGGCAACAGCCACAAGCATTAAAACGTGAAAAACAGCAAACGAGGGGGCAAGCGGTTGTAGCACACCACGAAGCATATGTGCATCTCTGCCACGGCTTAGAAGTAGCCGATAGACCAGTTGTAGCTGCCGATAGGCCCGCCATACTTCACGTAGGGGTGCAACATCACGTCGTGCAGCTCCGGTCGCCAGACGTCGCTGTGGTAGAAGAATTTGCGGAACTCCGAGGTCAATCCGACAAATCCCTTGTCGATGATCTTATCCTGCTCGTACTTGTAGCGTTTGTAGCTCGACACGAAGCAGCGCAGGTTCACCTCGGCCGTCTGGTAGGGCAGGTACGAGGCCTGGCGCTCGGTGAACTCGATCATCATCTCCAAGTTGTAGCGCTCGCGCTCGGGACGCACCCACGCGCCGAAGATGGAGACACCCGCGATGATGGCCATTACTGTGCGACCCGTGAACCAGCGCTTACCGTACACCGGGTACACGCGGACCGCCGGATAGCCGCCTGGAATCACTCGTTCCTGACGGTAGGCCTGACCGCTGAACCAGGTGTAGAAGGCTTTAGTGTCGGTAGGAACCGGGTCACGCACTAACCGGCGAGCGGTGCTGCGCAACATGATGGAGAACTAAAGAAGGTGCGCAGCGAAGGAGAAAAAATGGACTAAACAACACGATAAGACACTGAGATGGAAGAAGGAGAAGTCGAATGGCTCAAACCGGCTCCCGTCAAAAGAAGAAGAAGCTGAGGTGTGGAAACGTTCAAGTTTCCTTTGAAAGCGTGTAAACTAAAATCAGTAGAGTTGAAAAAACTATCTAAAGAAAGAGAAAGGGAAATTTTCTGAGAAGAGCGCTACAGTTATATTTCATCTACTGCTGCTACGGAGGGCTTTGAAAAGCGGTGGCTGCTAAAATGAAGACGCTTAGTTGCTGCTACTTTCGAAGGTAGCGAGTGGTGGAGGGAGACGAAGGGTGCGAAGAGAGCAAGAAAGCGGAGAAGAGTCAGAAGCAACAAGACGGAGTTTTTCAGAAGAGAAAATGACTACGCGAGATGTAAAAGGAAAAAAAGAGAAACTGAGCTTTGCCTTGCCTACGTGTAAATCCGCGCAGGCGGAGTGGCGCATTTCAAACACGAACCTTCGTTTCTTCACCTCAGGCCAAGCAGAGAGCAAGAAAAAAAGAGAGGAAAGCAATGATTGTATTTTTTTTTAGGAGGGGGGCCGGTCTTCCCTGACATCCTCAAACGACGCAGCAGCTAGTGCCGTATTATCCTCCCCTCGAGTTCCGTTTACGGTTAGTGTACACTACTCACACAGCACAATCCAGCGGCAATAAGTTGAAGCAAGCAACAACTGCATAATTTCTTTTTAAATAGCAAACAGCTGTGAAACGTGTCGAACACACCCACGCGGGGCTATTGTTGTTTGCAATCAGAAGTGTTGTCATCGATGCGCTTCGACGGCATCGCAGCCCGCTCCTTGCGCGCAGCCGCCTCCGCCGTCAGCACTGGTAACGGCTTCTTGTACTGAATAATCAGCGTCTGAAGCTGCACGCTGTACGAAAGACTCGCGGAATCAAGCGGCACATTGGCGCGCTCCAGGTCAGGGATGTCGAGCCGCTTAAAGTATTTCCTATTCGATGTGCGAACCACTATTTTGCCAACCGCATCGCCCTCTGGACGTTCTACCGTGACAGCGAAGACCTCTCTTGGGTAGGGCAAGTTTCGGATGCGAATCACGTAGTTGTCTTTGGTGTCCTGACGCACCACGATGGGGCTCCCGCTCGCCTCGACGATTAACGCGCGGTCCAAGTTGCGACTCGGTGCCTCGGTGCCGACCTCAATCACCCAGTCCGAGTAGCCGCCCAGCGCATTTTTGCTGCGGCGTTTCCGCAAGAGAAGCGCGTCTGTCACCACGTCATACTCCTCTATCATCTCACTCCCATCTGTGTATTTGGACGTCAGCTGCTTACGATCCCCACGGATCACCGAAGTCTTCGGCTCGGCCAGCATGTTGGGCGCTCTAGTAGAGCTATAACAACAGACGCTAAGAAATTACGAAAAGGGAGAAAAAAATCGTGCGTGCCGCTACCAGGGAGAAAACTCCAAACACATGAAGAAGGCAAAAAGACGGGAGGTGTGAGGGAAGTGTTTAGCGTACAGCCCTTGGAGTATTCGAGAACAACCGAACAGCACTTGTTGGGAAGCCTGAAAGAGCAAAAAACTTCCGCGCGCTTCTCAGACACTGCACAGAGCTCCCAGCTTGGACGCGATCGCAAGTTTTGTCGTGGGTCCTGTTGTTTGCGCTTCAATTAAGAAAAAAAAAAGAAAAAGCAGCCCCGACTCTTTGCACGCGGTGTCCTTGAGATGGTCAGATAGAGAAAACAAACCTGTTCGTCGTTCCGCTAGTATTTTTCTTCCTTCTTGCGTTTTTGCTGTTTCCCTCTTTTTTGCTGCTGCTGTTGCCGTTCACCTCACCGTGATGCAGGCTCTTCGCCCACGGCGGCAGAGAGTGCTCGGCAGAGTTCCATCATGTGTTCGTCGCCGGGACGGGTGCGTTGGGCAATCGAGCACAGTGTCTCATACGCCAGGTACGTCTTCTTGCGCGCAAGACGCGTAAACCGCGCCGTCCCGCAGCCCTGTTGACGAGCTCGCTTCAGTCCTCCTCCGCTGGCATCCGCTTCCGTCTCGCCAGGTGCCGTTGTTGGTAATGAGGCTAACGATGAAGAAGTGGAAGCAGTGTAGTGCGCATTCATGGCCTCCAGCACATCCATGTGCCCATTCAACACGGCCCAGTGCGTCGGCGTCCGCTGCCACTTGTCGCGTGTGTCAAGTCGCAGCCGATAAGTCGAGAGCAGTAGTTGCACCGCCGCGACGTTGCCGCCCCGAGCAGCGAAATGCAGCAACGACTGCTGACGGCCGTCGCGGCAGTGAAGAAGTGGCGGGGCGTTGTCGAGCAGCAACCGTAAGAGAGGGGCAGACACGGCAGCTGCCAAGTGCGCCGGAGTGACGCCGTCTGGTGAGACGGCGGTGGGTTTGGCCCCAAAGTCTAACAGCAGCTTCACCATCCGCAGCGCCGCTGCTAACCCGGCAACATCGTTGCCGCAGCTGGAGACAGCGATGTGCAGCGGCGTGGCACAGCGTTGCGCACGCGTGTTGCCGCCGTTCACATCGACCACACCGTACCGCAGAAGGCACTCCGCGAGCCCGCAGCACTGCGCCGCCACCACCTCACGAAAAAGTTCATTTATTGGAGACGCTGCGCTTGGAGGGGCGGAGGCGGGAATTGGCTGCACAGACGAGGCACCGCTGAGCCTCGCAGCACGATCCTTGTGCAATTCAACACCAGGAATGGAAGTGGAACCGCTCTCCAGCTCCTGCCGCAGAACCGCAACGTAATCGCCAAAGCGAGGATGCTGCAGCACCACACAGGGCTGGAACGGCGATGGCAGCCCGCCGTGCTCGTCAATACCGTCGTCGCTGCTACCGCCGCTGCTGTCGTGCAGGGAAAGGTAAATGGCGCGGGTCAACTTGAGCGCACCAAGGGAGTCCCCACCAGCGTGCAGGTAGTGTGTGTTTGCGTGAACCGGTAAGCCAAGGTGACGCCCCCAGACGGATCTCACTGTTGCGTACAAGACGTCGTGCAGTTCGGCGGTCCGGTCTTCAGCCGCCTCGCCGCCTTCTTTTGTTTTGCTTATGTTGACTCCTGTCGGCACGAGCCCCCGTGCAATACTCGCTAACTCGATTCGGTTCACCTTGCCAGTGGCGGTTTGCGGCAGCGCCGATCCTCGCACGTACAGCAGCCAGCGTCGAGGAATCATAAAAGACGGCAAGTGAAGGGCAAGCACCTCCTGCAACGCCGCCGTGACACCTTGCGTGTGGCTCAACAAAAGCTGCTCCGAAGGAGCATCCACAAAGACAACAGCGGCGCCAATCACGGGAACGGGCGGTTCTTTGACTTCATCCGTGCCCTTTATGCAGAAGCATACACACTGCGTGAAAAGGCCCTCCAAGGCACCCTGCACCGCCCCTTCTACTTCCTCTATGGACACCCGCTGCCCGTTCAGCTTGATCTGCCAGTCACGGCGACCCCGCAACACCAACTGCGGCTTTTCCTCCCCATCCGGGCTTGAAAGTAGTTCCCCAACATCCCCTGTTCGAAAGAAGCGCGTCTTTGTGGCATCGTCGTAGCCAAACGGGGAAGGGGCGACACTCCCTTCGCCTTCACCAACAACCTGTAGTGCTTCATCGGCGTAGCCGCAACACACCTGGTCACCGTACAGCACAACTTCTCCATAGCCTTCGCCGCTCCCCCTGTCGAAGCTGCCTTCCTCGGCAAATGGGTCTACAGTGCTCCGGTCAATCTCGATGCGCGTGCCGGCACCCGAACCACACGTCAAGTCAGCTGCTCGCACACCGCCACGCACACGCTGCACGGACTGGTAAATGGTCACCTCCGTAACCCCGTAAATGTTGAAGAGCTCAACCCTGTCTGCCCATGCGGAGATCAGCTCCTGCGACATCCGCTCGCCTCCCAGAAAGACTTTCATCGCTGACGCATCCGGGTCCTCTGGGCAGCTCTCTGAGTGCCGGAACGCCTCTACGGAAACGATGCGCCACACAGCTGGAGTGCTCACCACATGCGTGGGTCGCACCGCCGCCATCAACTCGCTCACGCACCCGCCCAGTAGGCTCTCCTGACGACACGTGTAGAAGATGCACTGCGGGGTACACAGCGTCGCCAGCATGTCGCCAATCGAGGGATCGAAAAAAGGCGACGACAGGCAGAACAGGCGGCACCGGCGTCCCTGCATAACGGCGAGGCCGTCGGGACTGTAAATAAAGTTGCGCAGGTACGCGTGCAGGTTTCCGCGCGACGCCACCACACATTTTGGGTCGCCGGTGGACCCCGAAGTGTACATGTAGTACGCGACGCACGAGTCGCTCACATCCTGCCGAATCGCAAGAGCACTGGAGGAAGCTGAAAGAGGCGTGAGAGGTGACGGCGTGAGACTACCTTCTGCGGCAGCACCGAAAACCTTCTTGTTCATGGCGGCCTGCAGCATTAACGTAATGTCGTGGAGATACAGTTTAGATCGTGGCCGTCGCCGCCGCTCCAGACGCTCCAGGCGCATCGGCGGGTCATCGGGGCGAAAAAGACAAAAAGACAGGCCAAGGAAGAGGCACGCGCTCTCCGCCAAACACGCGAAGAACGTTTCACTGCAGTACACGCCGACATCGCAGCGGGGACACTGCATAGCGGCAGAGCTTCCAGCGGCTTCGGCATTGGTCTGAGGTGCCTTACCGCAGGAATCAGCGCATGCCGCTGTTCTCGAGATGTGTTGATGCAGCAGTAGCACAAACGTGCACCAAGTTTCCTTCGTGACTACCTTCTCAACGACATCGCTTTGACTATCCGTTGTCGTTGGTGTGTCCAAACGCCGAGGTGGTTTAGAAACGAGAGCAAAAATGACGTCATCCTCACCCCGCTTGTGTAGCGCGGAGAGGATACGCGACGACAGTGTTTCGTCGTCACGTTCGTGCGGGTTCCCGTGAAACACATGCACTCAACAGTGGGCTGATGGAAAGGGTTGTTGGTGGTGTTGTCCGTTGTCGCCTGCGCCGAGGAGAACAGCCGAGCACATCCAGTTATGTGATGAACTGTGCTCGGCCCAAAAACTAACCTGGTTTAAAGGTGCAGGACGTTGCCAAGCATCCACGCTGATGTGGACACCGCGTTGAAAAGCCGCTAGACCATTGTAGGAAAGAGGGCAACATAGGAGAAGGAAGATATGCGAGCGAAGTTCGCTATCGAGAATAAGGAGACGGAAAACGCAAAAGGTTTGCATCTGACATTCTCAAAGATGTCGCAAAAACCATAGAGGGGCTACGCAGGCGTCGCAGAGGTGTCGGCCATTAAAAAAAAAGATGTGCGTGAGAGGTCGCCGTGACGCAAGAGAATAGATCCCGCGTGTTCCGCGAGTATCGATGTCGTCGGGGGGCCGTGGTGTTTTTGCAGTCCGTGTGTTCCTTCTCAAAGCACCGCTCCTTCCCTCCCCCCCCCCCATCGACGCTGTGTTTTTAATATGAAATCAAACGTTTGTCATCTTGCATTTTATTGCAGGGATGCTTAGTTCCCTTCTCACGGCAAATAGCACACAGGCCACTCTCTCTTCCTCCTTAATGTTACACGAAGCGGTTTATGACACAAGATTAAATGGAAAGAACTAGCGCTTTTACGCCTCTTGCGCAGAGGCGGCCATGCGGTGCTGCTCGAGCATGCATTTATCAAAGCTGATTATTGTTTCGTCGCAAATGGCAGCTAAGCGTTCCAGTCCGTTTGCCACTGCCTCCACGGCGTAGTCGGAGGCCTGCACGTGAAGCAGCATCTTCGGCTCTAAAGGATGCGGGATGGCGTAGCCTGCACTGGTAACCGCTGCATTCTGCATGAGCACGTGACGCAGTGGGTTGCCTAGAGTGTGATCCTCGTGGGAGAAGGTCACTACGGCGGAAGACTCGTTATCCGTAATTCGCTGCAGGTCAATCTGCACCTTTTGCTCCTCCGACGTGTCGACTTCATCGCCCTCATTCATGCGCTGGATGTGCTCCTGATGGAGGATGAAAGCATCGCGAGGGTGAAAAGAAGCCATTGTTTCAATTCGCCTCCTGTGCGTAAATAAAGGTTAAATTTGAAGGGTCTCGAATCACAGAACTAGTTTGTGTTTTGGGGGAGAGAGGCAAGCGGACGCGTGTCTTTCCGCTCTGAGTTGTGAAGGCCTTCTGCCAAGCTTCAAACAAAGCGAAAATAAACAAATAGAACGCTTATTCGACGCGAGTGTTGGGAACTTTCGTTTGAGCAAAGCAACACTAGGCACTTTGAAATACATGAAGCTGACGCAAAGGTGTTAGAAAAAACGGAAAGGAAACGATCATCGTGACACACGTGGGTCCTGAACTTCACTTTTCACTGAGTAGTGCGCGACCAGAGCAAAAACAAAAGCCGCAGAGTTGCCACGCAAACAGTAAAAAAAAACTCGTATTTACCTCGTGAAGCAACAATCATCTACGGATATTGCGTCTCATGTAGGTGCATGTTGTCCTTGTGAACGGCGTGGTGCACAAGAATATGTTTGTTCTTGCACTTTTTTAGTCGCCGCATGCAATAAAAAAGTAGCTGTTTGTGTTTTTAACGGTTTTTCTTTTATTATGAAAGCAAATAAACAAGTTTCGTTACTCGCGTTAAATAAGTGTGCAGTTCAGTTAAAGGATAGACAGAGATACACAGCAACGCGTACATCAAAGAACCTCGATTCGTAAACGTCAGCTGAATGGTTGATCTTGCCTTTTTTTTTTAACACGTTGCGCTCCTTCCACTTCCGGATCCAAGATTTACGCTCGATTGGGTGAAGCGTCGTTTGTCAACACAGCTGTCACGCCCGACGCCGCGCGGAAAAGGCGATCATCGACCGCCTGCAAGAGATCGTCGTCCTCGGCGTCGTGTGGCCACTCCGACACAAAAGGGAAGACGACACTCTTTGTTCCCTTTACCGATTCTGTCGCACGCAAGGCGTCGAACACCGCAAAGCAGCCTTGCTCTGGATTGCCGCTGGGGCTAAGGTCACTATAAGAGAGGCACAAACCTTTTAGGCGCGCGAGATACCCGTTGAAGTCGATCACAATCGTCTCGCACAGCAGCGACACCTCCGACCCACGGTGCACGTAAATCGGGGCATCGGCGGACTCCGCCAGTGCCGCGAAGCTGCCCGGCGTCAAGAGCGACGACGGCACGCGTGGGGCGTAGTGCGTGAGAAGTTGGCCGGGACTGACCATTGGCGCGTTCGCCGGACCGCACATAATCCGCATGTCGCGAACCTCCACCCGCGTCTGCGGGTACTTGTCGGCGATGGCGCGGTGGATCATGCTGACCGTGATGCGTCCGCGGCGCAGCACCAGCGCCAGCTTCTCCGACTCGATCTTCACCACCGTCGACTCAATGCCAATCGCACACTGTCCACCGTCGATAATGAGCAATTCGGGATCGCGGGCTGCGAGGTCGTCGTACACGTGCTGAGCTGTTGTCGGGCTAACGTGGCCGAAGGTGTTCGCGCTCGGCGCGGCAACGGGAAAGTTGATCATCGAGAGGAGCTTCAGCGTGACGGCGTTGTTGGGGATGCGCGCACCCACAAAGCCGGAGCCGCCAGTGACGCAGTCCGGTATGCATGGGTTCGCCTTGCACACAATGGTCATTGGACCAGGCCACAGGGCCGACCCGATGGCGCACGCCAGGTCCACCGCGCCCTTGTCCCACTCTAGGTCCCACATTTGCCGAACACGGTCTAAGGAGTCTACGTGACAGATCAGCGGATCCGTCGCCGGTCGCCCTTTCACGGCGTAGATTTTTCTGGCTGCGCTTTCCATGAGTGCATTGCCGCCGAGGCCGTAGACGGTCTCCGTCGGGATCGCGACCAGTTTACCCTGTGCAAGCGCATCCGCAGCGAGCCGCAGCTCTTCCGGCGAGTGACCAATAATTTTCGCCATGCTCCGTCAGTAGAAGAAAGCGTGGCTTAAAGACGAAGGCAAATATACGAAGATATGCAGCGAGGTAGACGCAATAAAAACCAACGAATATCGGGGTGAAGTGGAACAAGCGAAAGGAAAAAAAAACCGCTTGCGCTCTTCTCCAATGCAAAGCCGCAGACAACTTTAAAAAGTTATTTGAGCAAAAGCACGGCTGCGCTGTGAAAAGAAAGAGAGGAAGGATCAACAAGAAAGAATGAACGACGAAACGATCTAGACGAACTTTGAAGCTTCTCCGGCGCACGAGGAATACTCCGCAAAGTTGCAGTAGCGGCACTCTGAGGCAGCAGGCGGTTCCAGTGCATGAACACACGTTCTCTTTGTGGTTGTTGTGCAACACCCGCACCAACCTTTGGCGAAGGTCGGATTATCACTCTTGCAAGTTAGCTGCCGCGAATAAATCAGACAGCTGACACGGATAAACTCGTTTTTCAGCATCTAACATTCAACAAAAGAAAGAACCATGAACGCCGGCATAATTCATGACAGTCGTACTGCATGGAGCCTTGAAACAATTCTTTTTGTTTTGTTGTTACGCTTAGCTTACGGAGCGTTCACGCCGAATAAATTGGAAAACAGTATATATGCTCATTGTGAAGAAGAAACCCAACACTTAACAAAAGGAAAAAGAAAAGTTGAGCCGAGTGGTGATAACGGATTTTACACCGAAGCATTAAGTGCTATTACTCGGGTTCTTTTGTGTGATCATCGCCACAGCAGCGTCTAAAAAGAAAAAAAAAGGCCACTGCTTCATAAGCTCGAACAACTTCGTCGCGACTGGAACATCTGCGCATGTAAGCATAATAAAGAGAGAGGGGGAAGCCGCGAAGAGCGCTGCGTAGGCGCGGTAGAACAGCTTGCCAGAGATCCATCAAAGCACCTCTTACGTTGTCGAATGCTGTGCGGTTGCTGTCACACAGACTTCACAGGTAAGCAGTAACGTATGCGTCTAACACGGAAATGAAAATGTGAAGTAGCGCGAGACAACAGCAAGAACAAAAAGGGGAAGGGCTCCACCACCGTGCCCAAAAGAGAGGATGCCCGCTCTCTTTTGCTTACCAGGATTTATAAAGGGAGAAAAAAACGCCCTGTCCTCTTGTACTTTTGTGGCAGCCCTCGAACTGAATTTCACTATGCGGCTCTGCCCTACAACGCAAGTTGCGGCGGCGGCGACCAGCGGGGTACACCTGAAGCAGCAAAAAGAAGAGGGAGAAGAATTGCGCAAGAAGACAGGCGTCACCCGGCATGCGACGCTATCGCAAACGTTTCGCCCTCTACCAATCTAACGGGTCGGAGGTGAAAGAGGCGTTCGGACGTGACCGGCTCGTCCTCGAGTCAAAACGGTTCGAGCCGCCTCTGCGGGAACCGGAATCGCCGTGCCCATCATACCTGCGATCGAAGCTGCCTCGCCCGCGACCACGACCGCTGGAGCGGCCGCGGAAGGAAGAGTACCGCTGACGGTATGCGTCGGCCAGCTGCGTGAGTTCTGGCGGTATCTCGGCTTTGCAGCGCGTCAGGTAGTCAACAAGATCGCCCGCGATCGTCCCGTCCTGCTCCCCAATGAATGTGTAGGCCTTCCCGCTGCGTCCGGCGCGGCCGGTGCGCCCGATACGGTGGCAATAGCTGTCAATGTTCTTTGGCGCTTGGAAGTTCACGACGCACGTCACGTCGGGGATGTCTAAGCCACGGGAAGCGACGTCCGTTGCAATCAGGAGACGCACGTAGTTGTTCTTGAATTGGCCCATCACACGGTCACGAAAACGCTGAGAAAGGCCACCGTGGAGTGTTCCAATGTACCGGGAGTCAATCCCAAGACGTTGACTAAAAGCCTGCGCCGTGTTTTCCGTGTCAGACTGGCGCTCTACGAAAATAATCAGCTTGTCTGTGTTGTCGTCGATGGTGCCGCTCTCCACCAACTCGCCCAGCTTCTCGATGCGGTCGCGAAAGCCGTTGCAGAAGAAGAGACTCTGCTTGATGTGCTCATTCACCTGCAAGCCGGTGCCAGCCGTCCCCGCGCGAATCAAAATACGGTCGTCCGAGAGGTAGTTGCGCGCCAGGGACTGTACCGACTGCGGCCACGTCGCAGACCACATCATCGTCTGCGGATGCGCGGACGAGTCAACATATGAAAGAATATCCTCGAGCTGCACCTGAAAGCCCATGTCCAGAAGTCGATCTGCTTCATCAAAGACGAGAAACGACAAGTTCTTGATGGATACGTCGCCGGCGTCGAGGAAGTCCTTCAGCCGACCTGGACACGCGACCAGCACGTCGCAGCCCGCGTGAAGGTGTCGCGCCTGCATCTCCCGTTGAGCTCCGCCGTAGGCTTCGCAGATGCGCACCTGCCCTTTCGACAAGCCTGAGAACACCTTGGTGGTTTGCTGCACCAGTTCACGCGTTGGGGCCAGCACAAGTACAGAAGGCGACCCGTCAGCATTTCTGCGGAAGTTCTTCAATGCAGGCACGGCGAACGCGACGGTCTTTCCAGAGCCAGTTGGTGCGAGGCCAATCACATCATGACCATCAGCCAATAAGGGAATCGTGAACTTCTGTATGTCCGTTGTAGAAGGATACTGAAGAGACTGCAGTCCTTCCACCAGCCAGTTTGGAGCGTCTCGCATTTCCGCAAAGGTGTTTAACGGGACTACGTCCACGTTGTCGCCCTTGCCGTCTGTAATAACAACATCGTGCTCCGTCGACGAGGGCAGAGCCATTGAAGGACTGGTTACTTGACACAGCACATCTGTCGAAGAGAACGCTCGTGCTTTGTAAGTTAAAGGGGAAACGACACCTTGGAGCTTGTAGAGAGAAGCCGTGCATGATGCTACAGTGAGGCACCGCGCGAACAGTGCGCCTGTTAAACGACGCATTCTGGTGGACGACAACGTCGGTGGGAAAAAGAGCTAACAGAAGCGACAAAAAAGCAATGTGTTATAAAAACTGGAATTCAACAAGAAAAAAAGATTTGTAGGGGAAGAATCGACTGCGGCAAAAACCAAAAGGCTCTTTTCGGCTGTGTTTTTTCTTTTTGCGGTTTGCGCTACTCTTGCTGCTACACCTACTATTTGCTTATGGTACAGAAGAAAAAGACACAAAGACGTGCGGTGTTTTTTGGTTTGTTTGTTTTTTCAATAGGATAGAAAGACGAAAGACGAAACGAAAGGAGAAATCAAAGTAAGGTAGCTTATTGAAGGGGGAAAGCGCTGATCTCTCCTCGAAATCATGCCTCCTGACGCCTCGCCGTTACTCAAACTGTTTTTACTTCCAATAGTAATAAAAGAGATTCGTCTGAACACAGAGCTGTTGGGCGAAACCGAAAGCAAAAAGCACTCGACAAGGTGGTCTGAGAACAAAACTGTCACAAAAGCTGCTCAATGTAACGTTCGTCAGAATGCGAGTTTCGTATTTACTTTTTCTTTTCACTCCCTTTGAGCAGCTTTTCGAGAATGACCCTGTCTTTTAGTATTACTGTAAAAGGGCGTTTGTTGCTCTCAAAAACAATGATACGGTGTCTATGATTGGGAAGCAGTGAGTCAACTCACTTGCACAGGAAATATATAGAAAGGTGAAACATGTCCACACAGAGGGAAAGACTCAAGGGTATGGAGTCACAACACGTTATTGGGGATGTCCTGCGCTATAATATACAGCAACCATCACCCACACAGAAAAGACACGCTCGGGGAAGCAGAAAACCTTCACACGAACGGCAAACTTGGTGTTCTCTGCGACCGTGTCCAGAATTTCTTTCCCAACACTAGTAGCGCGCACCACGTCCATCACGCTACTTTCGTCTAGGTACGAGACGTTGATCGGGATCGCCTTGAACGTCTTGCCTGCCCCAAGTGTGCCCTTGACGGATTCCTGGAAAAGGACAAAACTCTCGGGACGGCCTTCGCTTTGCTGGCGCTCGTACAAGAGAAGTGCCTGCGAGAGAACATACGAGAGGACGTTGTCGAACGCTGTAACAACGCCAAACGCATCACGGTACGCTGTGATAGCAGACCGCACCTTGAGCTCCAGGGCACGTTCGATCGTGAGCGGGTTGGAGACCTCGAACAAAAGCGGTGCTGGAGGGTAGCGAGGAACCATGCGTAGTTTCAGCACATTAAGCGGCCTCCAGAGCTCCTCGTTGCCGTAGTCAAATGAGACAGAGGCAATGCTGTTAGACGGTTGGCAATTTGCATAGAAGGATTTGTTGTTGAAGAGGCAATCGACTGTTGAAAATGTCACTTGCTCATGCGCAGGTGCCCGCTCCCCGGTCGTCGCGTTCCACACGGTTGCCATTACACTGCCACGCGCGTCAACGGTCCGCGACACAACAAACACGCCGAGCTCACCATTTTGGCACGTGCCCATCGCGCAATACGCGTCAATGCCAAAGCCGAGAAGAAGGGAGCAAAGAAGTGCTGCGTGGTTGCAGCTGTGTCCCTGTCGTTGAGACAGAAATATGAATGGCGCAAGCCACGTGTTCGTCTCTACGTTTAACGGGTTAACAGAGTCAGCAATTTCTGAAGTGACGCGCAAAAGTGACACAAAACGGGCAGCGTCCTCCGGAGAGTCGATTCCGAATTCAGCTTGCAAAGGGGCCAGAAAGTGTGTTACAGGCACCATTCTTCCTGTGGACGTAGACGCAAACAGCTTCACTCGCCGCTCTTTGTGTGTTGGGCGGAGCCCCTGATACTCGGACCACCACCGTCGGGTGTATACCAGAAACTCACGATCAGCGTTCGTGACTGCCACTCGTTGTTGTTCCATCCGCATCGCAATGTCCTCTTCCTTGTATCGTATTCTTTTCTTTCCGACTAGCTCTAGCTGGAGATCTACGATTCCGGCAGGCACACCAGCATTTTTGCCGCAAAGCTCGACAGTAAGACCGACACAGCCACTCTTGAGAACTTTCCTCCAATCTATTATGTTCTCACCAAGCAGCTCCGCTACGTTGAGCTGCGAATCTTCGCGCAGCACCGCAATGTGAAAGGGTGTGGAAACTTCGATCAGGTTGGTTTCATTGAAACCAAAGGATGTTGCGTCAACCTCAAAGAGAAACTCGTCGTCAAAGGAAGGGTCTACCGAACAAGGCTTCAGTGCTGACCTAAACCTTTGGCTCCCAAAATGAGCAGCGAAGAGAACAGATCGTTTCAACGCAGTCGAAGGGGCTACATCGACGTTGTCAACAAACGCGCGACCACCATTAAGGCGAACAAGAAGATAAAAACGGCCATCGCTAGGGATAGTTGGTGCTCCTCCACCAACTGCAACAGAGCGCGTCTGAATCTGTGAAACAAGTTCTTGAAGAATTCCCTTTTCTCGCACAATTTTCATAATTTCGTTAGGGTTTTCTTGTGAAATGCTCTCACCTTCATGCTGCGACACGTAGGTGTCTACAATGTCGCGGATTGAATCATACACGTGCGTATCTTGCAGAAATGTGTGAATGGCCGATTTCATCGATTTCAACTGCTCAGGTAATACCTGAGAACTTGCGCTAGGCACCTCCATTGCTGTTTCGTTCGATTTTTTTTTTGCCTTTCCTTTCGGGCACTGCACGTTAGTGAGTGATTCTTGATAGAAACCCCGTCTATTTTGAGGTAAAAATCACGGTGCAGCAAATATGTAAGTTGGAGAATAATCAGCATGAATGAGAGATGGGAAGTGTTTTGAAGCACATTATGCAAAGGGAGAGAAAAAGGAGGACATGTTCGATGAACGAAAAAAGATTCTCAGACAGAGGTGCTGAAGAGCACTTTCATCAAATTATGTATATACGTACGAATACAGTGCCCCTGTACGCACGCACATGTAAAAAAAAAGGTCTTTTAGGTTATTTTCCATGTGCTTCTCTGTCATTAAACTTTACTTCGATGTCGCGCTTTCGATACATATATATAAGTTAACGTGTTGAACTGTTATTGCTATTGCTTTTTTTAAAGCCCATCGGGATGAGTACGTGCACTAAAAAGTGTAACGTTCATAAGCAGAACAATCAGTGAAACAATGGGCAACGCGGCTCCTGGCCACGTAGTCTTGCTGTTTCCATAAGGGTCGACCGCTTTCCAAACTGAGAGACATATTGACGCAAACAAAAGAAGAGTTCCGACAAAAAACATACTCTTCCCTTTCTTGACAGCATCTTCATCATCTACATCAGAATCTGGATTCAAAATGTGTGCCGGGTTAACAAAGAGTAGAACGAAAGTCCCCATAAGCGCTGTCAGAAAAGGAAGCCACATGAGAAAATTGTACGGCAAGCTCGCTCTCGATGCCATGACGGCACCATCTGCCAATACTAGCAAAGCAGTGCCCATCAGCGCGCCAGAGGCGACAATAAGAAACGTTCGTGAAAGCATTGTAGACTAGAAAAGCAAGGAGCAAAAGAATTGTTTTTCTTTTCTGCGAGCTTCGGCGAAGAACACATCAAAATAAATAGACATATAACGTGTGTTTCAGAGAAGCGGGGAAACAAGAAAAGAGATTAGGAGGAAGTCATGCGCAGCAGGCGAAAAGGGGAAAATACGTACGCCAGATGCAACCACGACGCATGTAATGAACCCAAACAAAAACAAACAAAAAACGCACTCTCGCTGGGCCTATGTGAGCACTTTTCTCTTCACGGCACTCTGGTGCAATCTTGCATCAAAGTGAGACAAACGCTAGCGTAATATTATTGTACTATTTTTTTCTCTCTAGTGTTTTCTTTCGATACGAGAAATAGGGCGATCCAATTAAAGAGTACCCAAATAGTGATTCACATATATCATTGTAAACGAGAGCTGAGGTAATAATAGCATAAAGACATCTACACTCCGAGAGCAACAAGTTTTGATATCTCTTTATGAGAGTTAAGAAATTTATGAAACTTTAACGGGTTGTCCGACATTAGTCCGTTCAAAGGAAGTTGAATTGCTTCTTCGAAGTCAACGTCGTCGTTCACCACCCACCCAACGACCGCGACGCCACGGGTTTGGAGGTACTTCCACAGCGTTGGAGCTGAAAGTAGAAACACGGTAATTCGTGCAGTCATCGGACCGTATTCTTCGTACATTTGAGACCGCATCGTACTGGTAAAGACCGGAATAGAAACTACGTCAAATTCAAGTGGCACAAACGGAAGAAGGCCTGTAAAGAAGAGGAAGTGTATCCACAAAACACCGCTGAGGCTTGGAAATACACGATAGCGCTTGCGAACGGAGGCTTTTCTCTGCTTGAAGTACTCGCGTATGTAGCCTTCATTCTCGGACTGGCTGCTTCCAACAAAAATATTGTTCTCCCTTTTGTAGTGTGCGATCATGTCGAAAACTTTTGTTACAACTTCCTTCTTTGTATCCTTAATGTCTATATGGAGTGGGACATCAGGGAGACCCTCGAGAACTTCTTGAAGAAGGCAGACTCTCGTCGTATCATCGACGGGTACATCGCTTGTAGCCTCGTAATTCTTGATGTCGTGCGTTCGGAACTCAAGCGGAATCCTTCTTCGGCTTTGCGGAAGCGTAGCTGTCGGGTTAGAACCGACAACGATATCGGAGATGAGAATGTCATTGAAATTGTCGCCGCAGGCTCGCCCAAGTGCCTTGTCGTGCGAGACGACAATACGTCCGTCCTTAGATTCCCACACGTCAAGCTCAATCATGTCACAACAGCCTTCCACAACGCCTTGCTTGAAGGTGTACATTGTGTTCTCCGGACCGAGCAGCGCGCCACCTCGGTGAGCGATGTTGGTCACGGAGTAAGAGAATTTTTTCCTAATGCGATCCCATTTGCTCTTCCTGTGAATGGAAATTTGAACTGCGCAGACGGAAGCCACAACGTAGATTCCCACAGAAACGGCTACGAGACCAATCAGACGGAAATTCATGCTTACGATCTTTTAAGAACACAAAAGGCTTTAATTCTAAACGTATGAAAAGGTACGAGAGGGAGACGGTAGATAGTAGATGCTGCTGAATTTAGAGCCTGATCGCATTTGAGCAAGATACTAGAGTAGCCACAAAATCAAAGCCTTACATACTGCTGTCAACGGAAACACTCTTGCGTTCACTGAAAACCGCTGCAAATAGAACAGTTTTCGAAAAGATCACCTTGTGTTGGGTACAACGTAGAATCACTTCCCACACAGAACCAGTCCAGAAAAGCATTCACAGCAGTGATTCAACATGGGAGCTGTGCTACAGAAACGATAACAGAGCAGTTAGGGCAAATGGATGAAACAGTGCGCCTCCAGTAGAGCGAAAAAAGAGCGTAGCAAATAACTAATTGCTGCAGCAACAGTTGCAAACAGCCAGTTGAAATGGCTGCTTCGTATATCAAAAGGAGAACGTGAAAACAATGCCGCTGCCGAATATTTAATGTTTAGAGAGTGGAATTTCGATTCGACCAGCTGCCATCGAACATGACTTTCTAACACAAAAAAAAGTAGCGATCTCACACAAATTGGAGACAAAGCAAAGAGTGCAGAACTGATAAGCAGCTTGCCAATAGAGGTGTCCCACTTGTTGGCACCACCGCGGCGCAGCAATAAAACATGTTTGTTTATTTTCTAGAAACTGTGTAAGTGTAAGGACAGCATGTTATACTCCTTTGATGCATTAACAATACACACCATAATGATGATAAGAAAAGAAAAACGGCAAACTGTTCGCAAAGCAACGATTCAGCCACCGGTGGCTTTTAAAACGTCTATCCTGCTATATATATGTATATATTTATATTCTTTCCGCGCGAAATAATGCACACTCGCGTTTCAGGTAGCGGTGTTTCCGGTGATGAATATCGTCGTTTGTTATTTCTTGACGAACAGGGCAAACGCTTCTACACCTTTACTGGTTGCGCTTGCAGCCGACACGAACATCCATCGACAAAAGCGGCAAAGTTCAGCTCCACACTGCCAGCGCCGTTTCAGCTTAGTTGCTCCTACCACCTTGGAAAGGCCAGGCTCCAACGCGGTTTTCACTTGCGTCGCCAGTATAATCTCCTTCGCCTTTTCCACCGCACGCGCCTGCTGCATTGGAGCGTCATGCTCAACGCTCCCTCTTCCTTAAAGCTGAAGGTGGATCGGAGGGGGGAGGCGGGACTCGACGTTGCTCGTCAACCTTGGTGCTGAGTAATCGCTGAACAAAGCTTCATGGAGAGATGACCTGCGGCGGACGCGGAAAAAAAGGTGAAGGAGGGGGAGCTACTCTGGTAGCCGCGTATATCGACGACTTCTTTGACAGCTGGTAGGTGCTTTTTTTGTAGGAAGTGCTTTACATGCCCAACAGAAACGCTTCCTCGTTTTGGGTTGAAACAAATTCTTAGCCTTGGGATTGAAACTGTCGTTTGCGACGGCGCCCAAGACGATTCTTTATTTCCGGTTGCTGTTCACCAGATCCATTCTCTTCCACCTTCTGCACCGGTTGGCATCGTCCGGTTTTTTCTTTTCAGCTCCACCGTGAATCACAATTCTGAAGGCTTCACCTTCACAGTAGCACAGCTATTCGTGTCATCTGTGCGTGCACTAGTCCTTTTCTGAGTTGTGCGCTTTTTAATCAGTTTGTGCGCATATGATCACCAAACTGAAACGAAGAGAACCAAAATGGAAAAGGTTGTGTTGTTTACGTGCTTGTGGGAGAAAAGACCGAGCTTTCTTCTGCTGTGATGAAAAAAGCTTTTGTGTATTTTTACTTCGTTTTTTTTTAGGTTGCTCGTGCTTTCCGTCTGATAAAAGAAATAGTGATTTCTATAGCGACTATCTTGCCTATTTCCTGTTGGGGTGCACCTCATTTCCAGTGTGGAGAGGTCTTCGATGTTGAAGCCTTTAACTCGAAGTTGGCCTCACTTGTTTTCTTCTTTTTGTTTATAATTGAAATAGGTTCTTCAGTGGCTTGTTTATTGGAACTGCTGCACGAATACAGCATCAACTGACTAATGACATGTTGCATTCAATAGCTGTAACTGCGTTTTCATTCCGACGCGCTTATGGCCTCAAATTTTATTTTCAATGCTGAATCTCTGGTGGTTGAGTACCTGGAATGAAAAATGGAACGAAATTCACAACTCTCATTTGCAGTCTTCAAGTACACGCATGTTTTTATTTCCAAAGAAGAGAAGTAGCGTTTAGTTCAGTAGTCAATAACCTGAATAGGCACTCGATTGGGGTGTTATTGTTGTTGATATGCGAGAAATGCGCATTGGAGAATGTTACACGTTGTTTACTCTCGACTGCTCACAAGACGTATTTCAATGATACTTGGTAGCTACAAACACAACAATATAGGGTCTTTTTCTTTGTTTCAAGCATCACACTGAAATCCTTGTTGCCAAGGAGATGACTGCATTGCTGTGACTTCATGGTATGCGGGAACTAGAATTTGTTAGTAGAATTCGAAACATTACCCGCAGTTTCCCGATATCATTTCTAAGAATTATATCTTGGAAAGGGTGCGGTTTTCAGTGCGTTTGATTTTCATACTCTTAACGCTAGGTTTATTATCGTCATTTATGCACGAAGATGTTGACCTGTCAGCGTAAGAGGTCGAAAAGAGTTGATTTCTTTGGGCATATTGATTGAGGTACTCGTAGAAGCAACTCTCCTTGCTTGCGGACAGGAGCGCATCATGTGCCTTTCAACGTCTACTTTTGAAATGTTAGGATAGGATTTTGAAAAAATACTTTGTACGTTTGAGGCAACTACGTCTAGCCTAGGTTAACGATTGCTGCTTTCTAAACTGTGGGACTCAGTAGAATGCCGATCTTTTTTCCTCTTGGGAATGGCATCTTGCGAATACTTTGTTAGCGCGGTCCCCTGTAGCTATGTGAAAGACTTTTTCTTGGACCGTTTTTGATAAGTGCTCCTTTGTTCTATTTACGAACTTTTGCAGCACCTTCTTCTGTAAAAAATATCATGCAAATTGCCCTGTGATATTTCGTTCCGGACGCACACGTTTGGCGTATTATTGAGGTGCTTTTGTTTCTCTTAGTTTCCTTCTAATCTAACGGTTGTGTTTTTGATACACTGCCGCTTTTTCGAGCGTTTGCTAACTTTTTTTTTGACTATGCCAAAAATGTACAAATGCATGCAAAATGGCTCTGTTTTTTGTTTGGAAGACATCATCAAACAGTTCATTTACAGCGGGATCGCTCGTCAAATTAACGTTTTTCCCTGCAAAAGTATTTTCACCCCTCGCAATCGTGCCTTTTATGTTTCTCAGTTGTTGTTTTTTGACTTCTATGTTCGACATAAAAGCGTAGTCTATGTTGTCATTGACACGATGGGTATCTTTTTGCTGCCTGTTGGGTGCACGCTATCTGAAGGGGCCTCGGCTACGTCAACGATGACAAAAGTAAGCGTTTTGTCGCAGTTAAACTGGTGTATCCGTCCAACAGTTTTGCTCATGGTAAAAGACGATGACTGGACTTTTCTCTTCTTGCATTCGCTGTGTCGTTTGTTTCCTTTTTTTTTCGGTCTTCCTAATTATTGCATGCCATTACTATTGTGCAACACAGGTTTTTCTATATGTTTAAGTATTCCCCATCTTTTCAGTACCAGAATTTCATTTCTTATTTGGTTGCGTGTTTTGGATCGTAGGTATTCGTCGAGGCATTTTTCTGTTTACAAGTTTGTAGCCTCTAAGAAAAGAAGTGAAATAATATCAGGTCACGCGTTTTTTTTTTTTTGCGGAGTTCCTTTATGCATATGTGTATGTATGTGTGTGTACCTATCAGAAAAGAAGCGTGTTGCTCTCTTTCCTGATAACAGTCGCCGTTACATTAGTGAATTGTGATTTGAGTTTTGTCTTTGAACAGCGCAAGCTTGTCACTGTTATTATGATGGTTCACTTTGTTTTCCTAGTCTTCACTCGAAATGTGTCTAGACAAAACTCGAGAAGAGTGGAAGTTCTTTTTTCAAAGGTAGTAGGTATTTTACTTCCTTGTGCCTTCTGCTCTCCATTGCAATTCTGAAACTGCAAAATGTTTGCGAAACAACAACAAATAGCGAAAAGATACCACACTGATCTGCACAACGCGCGATGCAAAACAGCAGCAACAGCAACGTAATGACAGAAATGATGGCTACAGGTTGTTAAAGCGTTTCAATGCTCCTTTTCTCTATTTTTCTTTTCTGCGAATCTATCCTGTCTCACTGCTGCCCATCTTTTCTTTTCCCTTTTCTCTAGTATGTCGTTCAGTTTTTTTTCCCCCCGTAGTTGCTGTTGCATTTAGAGAACAAGTTACATCGCTGTTTTACCGTTGTTGTGTATTGATTTCTTTAACCCATAAAAGTGAAAAGGAAAACCAAGAAGCTAAAGCAACATGACACTGTGCCGCGATTTGGATCGTTCACTGAATGATCTTCTAATTGATTCGGTGTCTGTACCGTTTGACTTCCCGAATTTGTGGAAAGAAGTTACACAGAAGTGTGGTAGCATCTTAAAGTGGGAATCAGTGTTTATCGGTGAAAATGGACCGCAGGAAATGTGCAACACTGTGATGGACGCGTACGTTCTCGTGTACCACCTCATTTCCCACCCGTGCAGCAACACCCCTCTTGTCAAGGTCAATGGCAAGGAGATCTGGGAAGGGCAACAAATAATGGCCGTGTATTCCCTTCAAGGCGCCATTTTTGAGCAGCATTTGCTCAATAACGTAATTACAGCATTTGGCCAGGAAGACGACATCCCGACGATCCAGACCTACGTCCGTCTTTGGCGCTCTTTTCTCGTTGCGGTGGTCAACATTAAAACCGTGTTTTCTTCTTTGGCCGACAAGTGGTCGCTTCTAGGGCTAGAGGAAAATCCTTTGGACCGAACGGAAGACATTGCGTTGCGGAAGTGGTCCACAATCGTTCTTACTCCTCACGTAGTCTCGCAATTGCGCAGAGAGTTGCGCGCGCTACTGGCCGGGGAACGAGCTGGGGGATGCGCACCCGATTTGTCGTTCGCGGTGGAAATCAAAGATGAGCTTTCCATGCTCCCCGACTCCAATTACTACCGCAGTATTGTTGAGGTGGACTACATTCGTGATATGTGTGAGCATTCCTGGTCGAAAGCGCGCAGCATTGCGGAGAGCGATTTATTCGAATACGCCAAGGTGTGTCTCGACTTGATCGAGGAAGAACTCATTAGGGCCGGAAAATTTCTCACCAACAAAGACCATGCCGTCGACCGGCTCGTGGAAACGTTGGTCGACGACCACATTAATTTATTTCAAGTGGCAAAGGTTTCGGAATGGCATGACGCTGCGGGACAGCCGGAGGCAGACTTGAAGTTGCAAACTTTGTTCCGCTTGCTGTGGTGGAGCAAGGGAAAAGGCGCGCCGCTGATGGAGGGTATTTTCAAGGACAGCGTAGCCCGCTGTACGGCGGCGCAGCTCAGTAAAGCTGTTCAGACTGCTGCCGAGGTTGCGGATACCTATGCACACATCATCGAAAGCTTTGCCTTGATTGTCAAGAAGTACCGAAACGTCGTGAGGTCTGTCTTTGGCAACAACGGCTGCATGCTGGAGGCGATGGACGAGGGACTGCACAGCGGCTTTGTCAACATGCACTCTGTTAACTTCAAGAAACTCGCCGACCGCTTGGCAGCTCTTTCGAATTCTATTCTCGGCAAGTCAGGCGCGACAAAGCTGCAGATGGAGGATATTATTAGTGTCTACTACTTTCTGCCAGATGCGGAGATCGCTGCGAAAGACACGTTTCTTGTTTCTTACCAGGCACACCTTGCAAAGCGACTGCTGTTACACCATTACGACGACAAGCGAGAGCAGCGCGCGATGGAGCAGCTCGTTCAGGTCAAACAGAGTCCCATTCTCTTCTGCTGCCGCAGCATGCTGAAGACAACACGGAACCACAGCATTTACATTGGTGCTTCCACGACGAACCACGTCCTCGTGAATCCAGCGCTGCTTTCCAGAGGGACGTGGCCCAGTGTCCCCCACTCCGTTGCAACGTCTGGAATCCCACCAGCCTGTTCTCACGAGATCGAGATCGCAAAGGAGCGATGCATGAAGATGCGTCACGGCCAGAAGATCGATTTCTCTGCACCGTATTCCTGCGGTGTAGTGCGGATGCAACTTCCCCCAGGCACCGGGTCAAATAGGACGACTGTTCAGCTGAAACTGTCATTTGTGCAGATCTGCATCGTTGACCGGCTCAACATCAAGACAGAGTGGGGCTTCCGCGAGTTGTGCGACGCTCTCAAAGTAAACGAGGGAGACTGTTTGTCGGCGCTGACGCCACTCGTGAAAGCCACGGTGGTCCAGCTGGATGGCGCACCTGGGCCCGCATGCAAGGTGTCTCTAGGGCGATGCAACGGCCTTGTGGGCGACGTGGTGGACTTGATGCCGCTCGAGTTCCACGCGTTTGCGCAGAGTGCCGCCGTAAAGTTGCGCGAGCAGCGGGCGCCGCCGAACGCCGCCAGAGCAAACCCGCAGAGACTGGAGAGTCAGGTGGTGCATTTGCTGAAGCAGAACGGTGCCCTGGCGGCCGAAGAGCTGCTGACGTTACTTACCGCGGCGATGGTGCCACTCACGGTGCCACGAGGTGAGTTGAAGCGCGTGCTGGAGAAGCTCATTGAGCGTGGGCTTGTTGTCCGCGATGGAACCCATCGTAAATTCTCCTATTCTCCCTAAAGAGAGGCCCTTACTCGACCATTTGCGTAAGATTTTTCTTGTCTTCCTTTTTCTCTGTCTAGTTCCCATTTGTGTCGTTGTTGCTTTTTGCGGGAGCTGGGAGTCAAGAAAGGTCTCCTTCACCTTATAAAGTGTTTGCTCTCTTAAAAAAAGAGAATTATTGTACTCAGATGAGCGTTTGCAGGTCAGATCTTTGCTTTCATTCTCATTCTCATCATTATTATTATTATTATTTATTGTTTGCCACTTCCTGTTTTCATTCAGAAGATGCATTCAGATTCATTCGTATCACTATTTCACTTCTGCTACTTGGCCCAGTGCATGCGGCTTCTATCCAAGGCAGAAAGATAATTTCGTAAACCAAAGAAAAGCAAGTATTATTTAGCACCAAAGCGAAGAAAACGAGGAGGGTTCGCCTTCTGCGTTTGAAAAATGTGTTTTGCTAGTTTCTGTCTTTTGTTTTGTCGAGTGGGAATAGCATTCCTTGCTGATGTCGCATGAAGAAGTGACTGGGAATGCGCGCGGCTCTCGCAAACCGACCGGGCAAGAAGCACAAATAACTCTGGTAATTGCAAAGAAACATTACATGCACAGTTTGCTGCCTTACTCTGTTGCTTCCCTTTTTTCCCCCACTTTTCATAGCTATCGCTGTAATCATTGTCTACGTGAAGACCGGCATCTCGATAGATATTACCGATAAAAAACGACCATTTCAAAAACTCTCAGAAGTACAACTTCTTGTTTTTCTTTCAGCTCTCTTGCCGACAACGTTCATTATATATAATCGCGTTCGCAGCAGACCTTTTTTTCCTCACCCACAACCACACTCTCTCTTCAAGCCCCCTAAAAATGATCCGTAATATCGACGCCAAGGAGCTGCGCGCTCTGCTCACGAGAGAAGCAGTGTTTCTCGTCGATGTCCGCGAGGCGTCCGAGTACCGCCGCGAACACATCGACGGCGCGCATCTCTTCCCCTCGTCCGAGTTCAATCCAGGGGCGGTTCTGAAAGCCGCCGGAAAGGAAACTACCTTCTGCGTGTATTGCGCTTCAGGCGGTCGCTCCTCCAAGGCAGGCGAGAGTCTTGCGCAGGCGATTACGCAAGCCAGCGATGTGGCTGGAAATGCGAAGGTGTACAACCTTGTTGGTGGCATGTCCGCGTGGCGCATGGCGGGTTGTCTTGTCGTCGAGGACAAAAAAGCACCCCTTCCCATTATCCGGCAAGTGCATTTGATCGCCAGTACGCTGATCATTGGCGGGTCCTTGCTCTCGCGCTTCTATCATTGCAACTTTATTCTTGTGCCCATCTTTGTGGGCTGTGGCCTCTTCGTATCCGGCGCAACCGGCTTTTGCGGAATGGCGCTGCTCCTCCAAAAACTGCCATACAACCGCTAAAAAAAAATGCTATACGGACAAGAACGAGAAGAACACTTTTCGTTGTAACTCAGGCTTCACGGGCATCTGACTGGTGTTATGTTTTTGTTGTCGATTCCCCACACCAATCGTTTCGAATGGACTTGGCGCTGATGCAATCGAAGCTCGCTCCGCTCTTCCGAAGCAATGAGGCGCCACATTGAACGTCTCCGCTTGCTACTATTCCAGACATAGCTGCTTCTTTCTTTTCGACATTATTATTATTATTATCATTATTTTTTACGTTCACAAATTACGCTTAAGAGCAGACATGGGAACGTCAACAAGACCAAAGCTGAACACAAGACTCTACTTTTTTGTTGTTGTTTGGAACCAATCCTGATAGTTGTGTTGTTTGGAAACAGTGCGGCGAAGAAGGTAGAGTGGCGTCGTACGGTTTCATGGCTTCTGCATTTGCCGCAATGAACAAGAACCGAATTTGTTAAATCTCGACACGACTAACACATGGAGGTGTCTTCTAGGGAACGACAACGTCACCTAGCACTAGGTTGCTAAGTTCGAATTACAGCGATGGAAGCCACCAAATACTTGGTTGTCATCACTTCACTTCTTTCACATGCCGGTGCTTCCATTTCTTTCTTTACGCTCTCTTTTCCCCCTTTTTTTATTCCTCCTTAACGACTTGTTGATCTTTCGTTCTTGCTTATTGCTAAACAAAAATATGTATTTATATACATCAACAACAACGCACAAACACTTTCCCATAGTAAGTAGTATTTTTTCGACCCAATCTCGCATCGCCTTAAAGGAGCAGCGTCAACGGAGTTGAGCACATCTTTCCCCTTTTTTCTAGCAGATCCACATTTGAATTGGTCTTCTGACAGGTTTCTTTCAACTCCACCGAAGAAAAAGTAAAAAAAAAAATGTCTCGGCCGCAGCAGCAGCAGGAGTACCCGGAGGAGGAGCAGTCCAACGAGGAACAGCGCCAGCAGGAGAACCACCAGCCGGTGGAGGAGGACGTGAACTCCCATAGCAGCAAGGACTCTGAGGTGAAGAACTCCAAGCCGAAGGCCGAGGGCGAGCAGGAGAAGGAGAAGAAGAAGCCGAAGTTCAGCGTTGGCGTGCTGCTCTTCGCCATCTTCATCTTCGTAGCTTTCGTGCTGAGCCTCGCCGGCATGACTCTCGGTATGATGGACAAGCGCGGCAGCAACGCATGCATCTCCATCTGGGGCTATAAGCCGAAGTGCACCGGCAGCTGGTTCCGCCACATCGACTTCAAAAACTTCGAGAACTCCGGCAGGGAGTGCAAGAAGGGCGATTCCCTGATGCAGGGTGCGCAGGCCTTCTCTGTGATGTGCCTCATCGGCGGCTTCATGACGACCGGTGTGGCGCTTCTCGAGCTGTTCCACTTCGCCGAGCTCGCCGTCGTCGCCTGCATTATTTCCTCCATCAGCATGATCTCCACCCTTGTCGTGTGGTCTACGATGCTGGCGTACTACTGGGCCGACCTGTGCGGCATTATAGTGTACGCTGACACCTACAAGATTGGCAACGGCCTCATTCTGTTCATCACTGCGTGGTGCCTGCAGATGGTCGCCTCCCTCATCCTCATGATCGACATTTATCTGGGCAACTCCAAGTAAGCGACGACTTTACACTTGGCAAGCGCACAGGTCATAAGCGTTCACTGAGTTTGCGTACCAAGCACGATCTTCTCTCCTCCTTCTCCTTTCTTGACTCCCTCTTTTTTTTTTAGTACCCGAATCCGGAGAGGGAAAAAGAAACTACTACTACTACTACGAAGATGGGTGCTGGCAAACGAAAGCGTGCAGTAAAGAGCAACATCGAGGATTTGAAATGGCTGATTCTGTTGTCGTCAAAACGGCACGCTTCTCCAGTCTTTTTATTGTTGTGTCTTTCCTCGCTACTTTCTCTGTATTCCTCCCCATTATCGAGCGCTTGTGTTGCCTAACGCGCTGGTAACCCTACACATCGAACTCGTACGGTAGGTCTTGCATGTTAGTAGCACTCACACCGCTCTCGTTGCTTCCAGTGTGCTCTTTTCCAGCCTTTTCCTTCGCTTAATGCGTGCGAGAAAAAGTGTGTGTGAAAGCGTGAACTGCCCTCCTGGGTTACAGGCAAGCACAGATGAAGGATGGAGATGGGGGACTCGTGCAGTTCGAAACATGGTCAACAGTTTTTTTTTGTAGGAATTCTTTTTCCGACTAGTTAAATGTAATACACACGCAGCCCTTTCACGATGTGCTTCTCTTTTTTTTTACTGTTTTTACTGTACAGGGGGTTCCTGAAGATGCGGAAGAAGGAGGGTACTGCGGTGTCTTTCCTGGCTTCTTTTTTTCTTCTTCCTCCATTCCAGCGAAAAACTACGGAGAGGGAGCACAACTGCGTATTTCTCTTGTTCTTTATAATGATTCTTCTGGTTTCGTAGAAGGCGAATTTAAGTAATTGATAGGTATATCGATGGCCGCCTTACTGAAGTCGTCATGTGGGGACGCGTACCCTTTTCTGCTTTGCTTCGTTGTTCCTTGTTCGCCGGCCGCCTCCATTCGGTGTACGGCAGCGCGTCCAGAAACGAATGGCGTGATGGGAGGGCGCAGGGCGAACAGAGAAAAAAAATTAAAAGAATGGCAACCACCAAGCAAGCGAAATGTATACCTTTTTTTAAGTGCATTGTTAACGACAAAGGTACTAGAAAGTAAATTGAACCACCTACCAAGTACGGTTTAAAAACACCGTTGAAGGGTTAAAAGAAAACATTTTTTCCTGTTTCGATCCGCCAACCAAAGGAAATAGATGCGCAAGGACTCACCAGGAAGATCAGACGGTTGAAGAGAGAGAAAAGTGGAGTGCTCTCGACAAGGTGAGATGCGTCTTCGTTCCCTTTTATTGTCTCCACGCTTTGTAACGCTTTCGTACTGCTTCAGAGCGGAGGAGGTGTGTTGGTACTCAGGAGCAACGGCCAAAGCGCTGTACGCTGACAAACAGAAGGATAACCGGCTTAAAAGTACAACAGTATACAAGGGTTATTTCTCTTTCTTTTTATCAAGAGAGATAGGTGCTTTCTTCATGATCACGTGCACTTCCGATCCTTTTCTGCTGCCCTTTCTCCTTTTCGTCCTTTTTTATTTCTCGCTCACACGCGGCGTATAGTACGTCATTGCGCGCTCGACATCGCATACCAAGGCATAAAAACGAAAAGCAGGCACTCCCGGCATTTGTTGGAAGCAAATCTCACCAGCTTCTTTTTGTGTGCGCATCTTTCTTCGCGTTTTCTTTTGATTTACTTGGTGCCATTTTCGTGTTTCAGCTCGCGTGTATAGACTGGTGCACTTCCACGCCCCCACGCACACCCACACACCTACACCAAGACATCTGCTGTGTCGAGACACTTTCCATATACTTAGTATATTTGTAACGTGATTTCCTCCCTGTTTCCGATTTGTGATCTGACCTGCGTGTCATTGGAGCATCGAGTGCTATACCAGTACTAGCCAGAACAGCCGCGCATTAGAGAGACAGCCGCAACAATGACGCAAGTACCCGGTGCGACAATCAAGCTCTCCGAGATGCCGAAGGAGATGGAGAACTATGCGATCTTCTGCGCCCAGGAGGGACTGACAAAGCTGAACAACGAACAAGAATTAGCCGGATTCGTTCGGAAGGAATTTGAGGCAAAGTTCGGCCCTACGTGGAACTGCTTTGTCGGCCGCAATTTTGGTAGCTTTGTCACCCACGAAGAGGGAAACTACATTTACTTCTACGTCGGCCAGACCGGCATTCTCTTGTTCAAATCGTCCTAAGGCCCCACGAGGCGTTCAGAGGTGATGCATTTTCTCCTCTCTGGAAGCCCACCGGAGTGAAGTGAGAACCGAACGCGACCATTTCCCTTCATGAACTCCACGATGGCTAGTAGACACACACACACACACACAACGCAAAGAGCTGTTTAATGATCTGCACGTGTAAAGTATCAACGCCATTGGCGTCTCGGTTTTTTTTCCCGTTCTTAAAGTCCCTGGACTGTCCTAGCTGTGGGACGGAGTATATGTACATATCTACAGATTTATTCTGTTACGTTAAAGGGAAAAAGAAAATGCCAAACACGGAACTACTATCTGAACTGTCTCTTCGATAGTTTTAGTGTTATTATACGGAACGATGCCACAAAGCGGTTAATAAGGTGATCCAGGGCAGTTCGCAATATTTCTCCGCAGCCATTGAAAATAAAAAGGGACAAGGAAGAAGAGACTGGCGGTGTCCGTTGTGTCTATTTTTTTTAAAAAACCTTCAGCGCTCCTCTTTGTGAGTCTATTCATCGTTGCTGCCGTTTTCTAGCTTCCACGCTTCTTACGCATTAGAGGTCTACCATACTCGTGTCGTTGAAATGAATTGACCCGTTAACGAAAAATCTGCTGTCCATCTTGATTTTCTTGTTGTGTTCTTTTTCTTTTTGTTCTCCTTCTTTGTTCATTGCAGTGCCACAATGCTGACACAGCAAGACACGCACTTCCCTTCTATTGCCGGAAAAACACGACTGCCAGCAACTCGTCAGAAGTAGCAATGTCCCGCCGTCCCACTGTAAAGCGCATCGACCCGCATGAGTGGCGCACTCCAACGCGCGTTGGCGCAACGTGCGCGTTTTACCGTGCAATCCAGGAGGATGTGATTGCCTGGTGGCGCAGAAATCAACGCACAGACCTCCCGTGGCGGCCGGCCACCGGGGCTGAGACGTCTTCGTTATCTTCTTCCAAGAGCGTCGCAGGAAGTTCGAGCAGTGTGGCGGCCCGCACGCCTCTCTACAACCCGTATGAGGTGTGGGTGTCTGAGGTCATGTCTCAGCAGACGCGGATGGAAACTGTGATACCGTACTTCAACAAATGGATGGACAAGTTCCCTACGATCGAAGCGCTGGCTGCGGCCTCTGAGGATGAGGTGAGGGCGGTGTGGGCGGGCATGGGCTACTACCGCCGTGCCCTCTACTTGCATAAGGGGTCGCAATACCTGCTTGAGTGGCGTCGCCGACAGCCCAGCGACAAATGCTCACGCACGTCCGCCGCTTCCATGCCGTCGACGCAGCAGGAGCTTCTGAAGGTGCCGGGCATTGGCCCGTACACGTCTGCTGCCGTGGCGTCCCTGTGCTTCGGCGAGGCGGTCTGCTCCGTTGACGGAAACGTGATTCGCGTTCTCAGTCGCCTCCGCGGCGAGCGTGGGTTTGATCCCAAGGTGCCGGCGAACGTGAAGCGGGCGTGTGGGTGGGGACAGGAGTTGATGGGCAACACCCCCCAGACCGCCTCCGTCGTCTGCGGAGACCCCAGTGCCTTGAATCAAGGTCTGATGGAGTTGGGGTCGTCGGTGTGTCGCCCTGGTGGTGCTCCGCTGTGCTCTTCTTGTCCATTGCGGGCGCACTGCTGTGCCTACGCGTTGCTGCAGTCTGGCGAGATCGACGCCATCGAGGGTTTTATCCCCATACGGGCGGCTGCGGCTGCCAAGCGGTGTGCCAAGGAGATATCTGTAGTGCACGAGGTCGTCGAGGATGCGGCGGCAGCGTCAGAGGCGAGCCAGCGGCGCTTCGTCGTCGTGCGGCGGCCTCCAACTGGGCTGCTCGCAGGCATGTTAGAGTTTCCAACTGTGAGCGCCGCTGCCGAAGATGGCGGAGCGAAAGCGGGACCAGCGCTGCAAGAGCACCCCTTGTGTGCTCTTCCCCTATTGCGAAGCAGCAAGGAGGCGCCGCTAAATGTGAAGACTTGCGGAAGCATCCGTCACATTTTTAGCCACATCGACATGGATGTGGAGGTGTTTCACGTGCAGTGGCCGGCTCAGATAAATGTACCTGAACTTCTGCGCGCTGTTGCGAGCGTCGTCGACGAACGTCATGCTGACAGTGAGTGCAATCCGTTTCCTGCGGCAACGCGCATCTTTTTCATGTCCGAAGCCGAGCTGAAAGCAGGCGCACCCAGTCGTCTTATGCTGAAGGTGCTCCATCAGGTCTCCTCACACGAGGTGAAACGCAAGCGGAGTGCGGCACCACAGGAAGCAAGCGTTCTATTCAGCCCCTCACCTACAACGGCGTCAAAGAAGCGTGCTTGCCGTTGATTCGGCATTCATCCTCGCGTCGGTGCTTCCTATACGCTTTTCCGAAACCTCTTCCTCTTCCTCCTTTTTTTTTTACAGTTTGCTGCACTTCCCGCGTAGCTTCGTACGTACTTCTACTACGCACTACCGGCTCTTCACACGCACTGTAAATAATAATAATAATAATAATAAAGAAGCAAGGAGAGGTAGTTATGCGACGTTGTTCACAATGCGGCACAACGTGCGAGAGTCTAAGGCAAACGGAGTCGAGGATATGCACATGCCCAATTGTCACAACCCGCTCTTCTGACACTGTGTATCTGTGGTTCCCTAGGTCACTGCTGTAGCGATGAGAAGACATTCTATGCTGGGGTTTCGAAAATGATTCGAAATAGGTGTGCGAGTGCTCTTCTCCGTCAACATCTCTAATATATATACTTCTTTCCCCGCCACTCATTTTGCTTCCTCCTTTTGTTAGCAGCAGTAGCAATGCAAAGCTGGTACATGTTTGGTTACAGCGGCTTCCCGACAGGGGAGCAGCGTCGCCGCTTTTATCGCCAGCGCGATGACCCTTGCGAGAGCGAGGAGGAATGCGACTACGACGACGAGACAAACGACCGACCCATATTTTACTACCCATTGCACGAGAGTGAAGAGGGAAGCCGTTCGTCCTACGACTCCACCTTTTCATCCGCATCATCGTACGCGTCCGATGAAGAAGCGCACATCGATGCGAAAAGGGGCGGTCCGAACGACCAACACAAAAGCTCTCTCCGAATACGTCGGCACACCAAACGTTTGCGGCGCACATCACAGGCGGGGTCGTCGATGCAGTGTGTCTCGCACAGCACGCTGTACGAGGATATGCCGGCGTGGTACGGCGCCACCGCCGTCACGCTCTCCGCCTCGCTTTCGGTCAGTTTCCCATCGACGGAGACGTTCGTTCTTCAACACGGTGGGGCCCCCTGCGCATCGCCCTTCTCCATTTCGAATCAAACGAGTCTCTGGCATTGGTCCGCCACGTCATCAAAGTTCGATGGTATTTCCAAAGATGAGGCGCGGGGAAGTCTGCGGTGCGCACGTGTCCGCGACGACGCGTCGCTCCTCTCGCATCTTCGCTGGGATCGCTTGCACCCCACATTGCGCCTCGCACACAGCTCCGCTGCTCGCGCGCCACTGCCTCGCATGGGACACTGCGCGGTGTGCCTATCCTCGTTGGACTCCTCCCTGTTACAATATTTCCTCACAGAGCACAGCAGGACCGACAGTTCGAGTAGCACAAGCGCCTGTACCGACCAAAATCATCTTTTGAGCACAAGTGCTAAAGTGGCGCTTGGGCTTTTGGTGAATGACGATGTCGAGCTGTACGGATCTATCATTCTAGGCGGAGCTTCTCAGCTGGTGAGCACCAATAGTTGTAGCTGCTCTTCACCTGAGCGACGCCGTAGCGGAGGAGTGCTGCTGGGGGAAGAATATGCTCCTGCTTCAGATACTGTTGCGTCTCCCACAGAGCCAAATTTGGACGGCGCCGTCATACCGCACACGAGTGTCTTCTCACACCCTGCACTGTGCGTCACGTTACTGTCCACAAAGGATAAAGGAGTAACGGAGGCGAGTCCAGCTCTGCGACAGCACACCGTCTTCTTCCCGCTGGACACATCGTCCATCTCCATCGTGGCCCCACGCGCCTTTGCGACGCTGACACCGTGGGCTGACCGATCCGCCGAGGCCACCGCCGTCCACTCCTTTGCTTACATTGGCGGCACCGAAAACGGCAGAGATCCGCTTGCCTTTTTGGAGCTAGAGGTCTTCCGGCTGCATCTTGAAACGTGGTCGTGGAGCTGCAATCCTGTGACCACCTACGGCGCAAAGCCTGCACCGCGCTTTGGGCACTCTGCGAGCATGGCAGATGAGGATCGGTATTTTCTGATGTTTGGCGGGGTGGGGGCGGGCCATGTGTACCTGAATGATCTGCACGTTTTGGATGTTCACACGCGGGTGTGGCGCGAAGTGTTCTTCCCTTGTGGCTTGAATGTGCCGCGGCGGGCGTTTCACGTGTGCTCGGTGCTGACAGACACACCGACAACGCCTGCGATGGAGAAAAAAGACTGTGCACCGGCTTCTTCGTCAGAACAGCACTCCTCTGCCTTTGCGTTGCAAGCTGCCATCGCTCTTCAGCACCGTGGTGACCTCTATGGTGCAATCAGACCTTCCGGCGCGGTCAATGGTACCAGTAAGAACGATGTCGACTGTAGCGCGGAGGTATTGGCCGGGGACGATAGCATCGACGACGACGATGGCAACGTGTGGTCCGCTAGTGTGACGACGGCCCAGTCACGGTGCACACTCCTTCTCCTCGGCGGCGAAGGGGAGGGCGGCAGACCCGTAGCGACATCGTGGGCATGCACACTACGTAACAGCAAGTGGCAGCGACTGTCCTTCCCCCTTCGCACTCTGCCGCACTTCTTTCACGTTGCCTGCTCATCTGCCGCGGGCTGCGCGGACACGCAACACGTGCGTCGTCAGCTGTCCCGCACAGAGTATCGGACCGCCGTGGAGTCTCTCGTAGAACGGGCAGCGCGTGCGTCGGTTCCAACCTCCGAGTCAGCCACGCCATCAAGCTCTCTAGGTGATTTGCACATCGCTGCCTGTCACGGCTCGTTGGCCCAACTGCTGAATTGTCCGCGCGGTGCGGGCGGGGCGGAGCGGCTTCTCCTGGTTGGCGGCTCGCGCGGGCCTCCGGTGAGCGTCGCCACGCAAGTCGAAGTGATGGGCGCGAGCCTCAACGACAGAGCCTCTCTTTGGCTGCTGGCGGCACAGCAGCAGCATGACTCACCGTCCGCCGCGCTGCAGCAGCGCATGCCGCATCTCTCGCGTTTCTTCTTTTGCCACAACAGTACACTTTCCCACGCCGTCGGGTCCGTGTTTCAGCGAGATAGCTCGGAGCAAGTGCGTCAGCGGCGACCTTTATCTGACGCCGACGCACGCTCGAACCGCCTCGTCAGTGAAAGTGTGCTGGATGGGCAGCTGACGGAGTGGATGCGACTGGCGCGCAAACGACTGCGAGACTCTCAGTAGAAGCAAAGAAACAAGCAAAGGAAAAGAAGCGCTTGTATTGACAAGACCCAAGGCAAACCTGGCAAACGTAAAAGCGTCTGCTTGGCAGCAGCTAGATATTTTTTTTTCTCTTTCAACTGCTTTTTTTCATTCTGTGACGTGTATGAGCTACATGGTGCTTTTGTGTATGCGTTTCGAAACGGCAACGGCAAAGTCTACTAGTTTCCTTCATTGCATGAAACGAAGAAGAAATCAATGCTTCTTTGACAAAAGCGAGGTCGCGTGGTTCAGCAGTGAATCGCGTTCACCACCGGTCTATTGTGTGGGTGTCTGTGCTGCAGCAGCAGCGTCGTTTTTTTTTTAATATGTTGCCCCCGTAATTTCTCTGTACTCGACAAGGAACTTCGCGCACATTTCACCTGGCGAAAACCTTTTCGAAACTCTCCCCCTTCTCTTTTTCCTTTCACGCCTCCCTTTTTTTTTTTGACCCGCGTGTCTTCTGCGCTGGCCTCGCCTTCTCCTCCTTCTACTCTGTGCAGCTCTGCGTGTACGCTAAAGGAGAGCTGAGATTTGTTTTTTTTTGGCGAAATAGCCGTGCGTTTGTGGTGCGCCGTCATGTTGGCCGTTGTGAGGGAGCACGCGAAGTCCCTGAGGGCGTGGGTCTACGATTTGTGCATCGTGCCCATGACGTCGCGGTGGTATCGCGAGGTGCTTCTAGAATGCCCCGTGAACACCAGCATGCTGGACGTTGGAGTTGGCACGGCGACGAGCTTAATTGCGAATCGCGACATCATTGTCAGTAAGCAGATGACGGTGACGGGTGTGGACTACGATGCGGCATACGTGCGCAGCGCACAGGCGAACGTTGCCGCGTGTGGTGGCAGCCTGCAGGATGTGATCAAGACGGAGCAGGCCGACATCCACGAATACAACAAGTCCCACAAAGTGAAGTTCGACATCATCTACTTCTCCGGCAGTTTCATGATTATTCCCCGGCAGGCAGAAGCCCTGAGACACTGTGTGCAGATGCTGCGTAGCCCTGTTCCGAAGGTGCCCGACGGCTGCAACATCTTCTTTACGCAAACTTTTGAGAAACGCACGTTTATCGGCCTCTACGTCACTCCCTTCGTGAAGCGCTTTTTGAAAGCCGTGACGACGATCGACTTTGGCGAGGTCACCTACGAAGATGACTTTCGCGCTGCCTTGGAGGAGGCGGACGTTGACATTGTGCGTGTGAGGGCCATCTCCTCCTCTTATTTTCGCACCCAAACTGTCGTCATGGCACGTCCGCGGGTGTCGTTGAAGCGGGAGTGAACAACAACACTGAAAAGGCCTCCCCCCTCCAGAAGACGCGTTCCCTTTCTTTTTCCACGTTGCCCCTTACAGCGCTCTCAAAAAAAGAAAAACCAACATCTGTTTGAAACAAGAAATTCGAGCTTGTGGAGTGAGCAACTACACTTACCTTGCCTTCATAGAAGCACCACAAATACCAGGGAAGCAGTATTTATGTGGAGAAGCGCGTTTGGTTTCGTGGTAGCCCATGCCGCTTTCCTCCTGGGTGTGTATTTCACATTCCACTCCCTCTTTCTCTCCTTCTTTCCCTCTTTGCAGTGAAGCCGTAATAAACGAATCTTGTTCGTAGCAACTGCGTCGTGAAGTCACGACCGAAGCACCTTTTCTTGCGTTTGAGCTGCTCCAACCTGTTCGTGCAGCTTCCCATCCACATTCGAGCCCTCTCTCCTCGTCTCCTTGTCTTTGCTTGCTTGCAGCCTGCGTCATCTACTAGAAACCTTTCCCTCCCCATCATGTCCATTCCCGTGACCGAGAGCATCGGCAAGGCCCGGTGGACCCAGGGAGATGACGAAGAAACCAACCTGGAATTGCGCATCCCGTGCACGCTGGCCGACGGCATGCGCCCGCGTGACCTGACGGTGGAGATCAAGGACATGGCGATTTTGTGTGTCAGCCACAAGGACACCCGCATCCTGCAGTGGCGTCTCTACGCCGCCGTGAAGGACGAGGTGGAATGGCGCGTGGAGGACGAGAACGTGCTCGTGGTGGAGCTGGAGAAGCTCTCCGGCGCGCCGTGGATCTGCCTTCTCGATCTGCCTATGCGCAGCGACGACGAGCTGCTGACCACGACGGCGGAGATCAACCGCATGTTCCACAGCCAGCTGCCGGTACTGCCGTCCCCCGAGGTGGAGGGGGAGGGGGAGGCGCAAGGGAAGGAGAAAGACGCCGGGGCGGCCGCCAGGGAGGAGGGTGCGGAGAAGAAGGACGCCGCGGAGGGCGAGGACGAGGACGGCGACGACCTCGACAAGTTGCTGGATGAGGCGGCGAAGGAGGTGTCGGGCAAGAAGGGCGCGGATAGTGAAGCAGAAGAAGACGGCACGACTGCCTTCATCAAGGCCGAACTGGAGAACTACCGCGTCGAGGAGGAGGAGATCAAGAAAAAGATCGGCGAAGTTGAGCTGGCGCTGAACAACCCGACCGACACGGAGGCGTCAAAGACGGCCATGGAGCAGAAGAGGACCTTGATGGAGATGATCCGCCTGCACAACGATTGCCGCGCTTTGCGCTCGAAGCCCAGCACGTTGGAGAACTTCCTCCAGTGCACGCAGCTAGACCTGCAGAAGGCCCGCGTGAATATTGGCGAGTCGAGCGAGAGCGAAGAGGAGGAGTTCGAATCCGCCGACGAGCGCGCGCTGAACGCGGCGGAGCTCATGACATGCGGCTTGAAGTTCTTTGAGGATCAGGACATCAAGGGCTGCCTGCATTTCCTGCGCCTCGCCGCGATCCACCACAAACACGAGCAGAGCACGCTGCTGCTGTACAACATCTATAGCCAGCTCCAGTCCCCGCGTGGTGCATTCCTGCTGATGAAGCGCGCGTTGGACGACGCAGAACCGAGTGCCGTCGTAAACCAGCGCGTGGGCGAGCTGTACGACCAGGGCGCCCGTCACTTCCTCCCGCTGTTCCCTGCCGCCGTGTACTTCTATCAGCGGGCGGCGAAGCTGGGCCACGTCAACGCGATGCTGAGCCTTGCGCAGTTGTGGCTGCGCGGCGCCACTGCGTCGTCGATGCTGTCCGAGGATGAGGTAGAGGCGCAGCAGAGCATCTCGAAATACCATGCGTGGCTACAGAAGGCGATGGACCGCGGCTGCGGCTCGGCCTACTTTGTGCGTGGGTGCATGCATATTAAAGGCGAGCACGGCATGGCCAAGTCCTACAAGGCTGCGAAGGAGTACCTCGACGCTGCCGCGGGCGCGCAGCCGGAGATTCTGCACCGTGCCCCGCAGATCCCCATGATGCTGGAGATGCTGCGCAAGGAGGAGGAGAAGTCCTCCGGCGATGCGAAGCCCAGCGACGAGGACGGCAGCGGGTCCGTTGCTGCCGCTGCTGCGGTTGCCAAGGCAGCGCCGGCGAAGAAAGCCGCAGACGACGACGTGAAGGTGACGTCCTCGGTGGCCCGCCTGAACGCGCTCAGCAACCGGCCTAGCGGCTCTCCGCTCAGCAGCGCGGTGTCGGCGTCGCGTGCGGGTGGCGGTGTGCTGCGCACCAAGAAGGCGCTCGGCGGCAGTGGTTCGCGCAACAAAGCTTTCTGGGAACGCGCGTGTGTGACGGGCGTCTCCGTGTACGGCATCTACACTCTCGCCTTCCCGCTCCGTATTATTTTGCTGCCGTTCTTCTACTCGGCTATTAGCGGCATCATTGAGGCCGTTCCGTGGCTCGCCAACAGCAACGCCGATTTGTCGATGTTCTAAGACGGAAAGCGAAGACGTATCGCATTTCTGATTAGCTCTACACACTGAATGATTAAGAACAAGAGGAGTGAAAAGAGGAAAAATAGAATACCTACTCGAATGGTTCTGATGCTGCTGACTTGTATGGCAACAATAACAGCATTCCGTGCCGTGGATGACCACACAAATCTACACTCTTTTTTCTTTGAGTTTTCTTTTCTTTTTCTATCACAGAACGAAACCCTTTTGGTTGTTGGCGTTTCGTGTTTCCCACGTTTGCTGTCTTGCTTTGGTGGAAGGCAATTCATATCCGTTCCCGTTTGAGTGCCTGCGTGCGTGCTTGCAGGGCTGGGCAAATAAAGAAAAATTGCGTCGTTCTTTTGGTTCAGTGCTGTTTACAAACCGTGTTTTGTGTGTTGAAGTGTTGGTGTTCGTCGCACTCCGTTGTTTCGGAGAGCGATGCAACGCAACAGTGCCGGGTCGCGTGATCTACGAGTTAGTCGAGCGAGAAGCAAGACAGAGAGTAATTGGCTCCAACGTTTCTTCCCGCTGCGGGGGGGAGGGAACTTTGCTGTGGAGAGGAAGGACTGTTTTTCTTCTGTCGTTGTCTTATTTTTGTTTTCTCCCTCTTTCTAGTTACAAAGTGTTTTGTTTGGTAAGATAAGCATCTCTCTTAAAACAGTCTCAACGTCAAGAATAGGCGGAAGGAGAAGAAAACTATTGCTGTGCCTCGTCTTGGCACGCAGGTTTTTTTTTCTTTTGCGGTATCGCTGCATTTGCGGTTATCATTGCAGCGCTGGTTTCTTCAAAGGCGGTAGCAAGTGTTTCGACGCGTGCAGCGACGGCGTTGTGAAGATTCGCTTCCACGCTTATCCAAAGTGTCCAGTGGTTCGAGCCACCGTTTCGCAGATTCGTGAGAAGTCCGGAGACCACCTGGACATTTCTCGTCTCTGTCAAGCGAGTGACAAAAGAAGGAATGCTTTGAGTGCTTCAGTGAGTGCTTCCCTTTCCTTTACGGCCTGTGTGTATGTATTTTATCCCTTTCTTTCTCGATTCTTCTCTTCCTCGCATCTACATATACACTTATAAAGCGAGTTTCGTTTCACGTCCTCAAGCCCCCCCTCCTAAAAGAGAAGAAAATGCGAGGGTGCAAAGTGACGTTTTCGCTGCTGCGTCGTCCTCTGCAGCGGGCCACGCTGGCGACTTCATTCACGGTTTCGTCCTCGCCGTACTGCATCTTGCGCGACACGGCAGGTGCGGCTCGGACGACGCAGCGCAGATGGCAGGGCACGACCGAAGCTGCGCAGACGACCGGCTCTGTGCCGCAGTCAGATAGCACAGCAGACGCCCAACAGACAAACTCCACCGCGGATGTTGCCCACGTGATGGAGCGTGCAGCAGAAGCGCGGCGAGAGATTCACGACTTGTGGGGTCACACCGGCGCGGTAGAGGAGGAGCAGCAGGCGTCGCTCACCTCCGCCAACCCGCCCAGTACGGAGGAGGCAAACGAAGCGGAAGCGAAGGTGACAGAAGCACGCTGCGCCGCTGTTGCCGCCCTTCTCGAGAAGTATCAGCTAGACCCTACGACAGCGCGGGAAGATGACGTGAGCCGTGGGCTGGGCGACGCGCTGGATCGCCTTCTCCTCCTGTGCGTACCCCTCTCCTCCACCCACGGCACGGACCTTTTACTGAAGCTGATGCAGCTGTGCGCGCGGCAGGGGCGTCAGCTGTCCATGCGCACCATCCAACACCTGTTTGCCCGGACGAACAGCTACGCCGAGGCGCTCGCCATTTTCTACGCAATGCGCCGCAGCAACTTCGCCATGAGCATGGAGGCCTACCACGCCATGCTGTACTCTCTGCAACGGCTGGAGGAAGAGGGTTGGGCCCAGCGCTTTCACGAGGAGTACGCGGCCAGCGAAGGGCAGGAGATCTCGGAGCAGGCCCTTGACTTTGTGCTGCGCGGAGTGGACAATCAGCTGCTGCCCGAGAACAAGCCGTGGCTCGGCCGCATTATGTTTGCGGAGGCGAAGGACAACGCGGCGGTGCAGAGGCAGTCCAGGGCGTCGTTTGATGAGATGGATCAGTTGTGGGTAGAGCGGTACAAGAGCGGCAGCGGAGCTCCTCCTGCGTAGCGAAAGAAGGAGAGGAGAGAGAAAGGCGACGCTGCGCTGAGGTAACTGAATGATTGGTTTTGTTCTGGATTTCACGAGTCGTTCACAGGTGCGGCAGATTCTGGCAAGCAGGAATCGCGGCTTTCCCTCTCTTTTTCTTGGGAGGCATACACACACAAGCTTTATGCGCTTTGCTGTACTGAATGACTCTAGAGTAACGAAGAAAAGAGAAAAGCAGCGCATGCACTCTCCACGTGTAAACGCTTTCATTTCAGGGCAAAGCCCGCTGTCCCTTCGTCTCCTTGTTGCCAAGTGCAACACTCTGTCCCACGTGTACTGGATTTCGTTGCAGGCGCGGGCTCCCAGGCAGAAAGACTAGATAGGCTTTGCTGCCGCGCTTGCTCGTTTTGCGGAACGATGACGCGTAGCGCAAGAGCTGCGATGTGTTTCTGAGCAGCGAAGACGAAAAAGCAAAGGTTTATTGCTGACTCATGGAGCTCCTCTTAGACACTGTGGGCTTTCCGTTTCTCTCCCTTCCTCTTTCCATGTTTTTCTTTTTCTGTACTCAAATGATGTGCCTCACCTTCATTTTTACCGCCGTGGTTTCTTTCGCTCTAACGAACAACCACAAACCGAAGCGAACACATAGGCGTCGCACAGAGCGACAACGGCTCCCGAAGAGCATGTCGATTTAAGAAAGAAGACCACTGCTCATTTGCCATTTTTGGCGCATCTTTTGTTTGTCACGGAGCACCCCTGCAACCGTGCTACAGTGCCGCTGTCACGACAAACACTTCTGCCTCTTTTCTTTTCTTCTCCCTCACATATTCTTTTTCTCCCCCTTTGTGTATGTACAGTACAGTTTCGATAGATTATAATTAGATCAGCACGTACGGATAGCGATACGCTTTTTTTTTTTAAGTTCTCTACTTTACAGTAATATACTGGGCATGGAGGAGCGGCGACGTGCGCCTGGCGCGGCGCGAACACGTCCTTCCTCAGGCAACTCTAGCCTTTCCCTGCTCCAGCGCCTGCAGTCTGAAAATGAAAACTTGAGGTTTGAGCTGCTGCAGTCACATCAACGAAACGTGTCGCTGCAGCACCAACTGGATAGCCTGCACGCCAGCGTGGATCAAAATGTAAAAGATGCGGTGGCGGCAAACAAAGAACAAATGCGCGCGCTCGAGGAGCGCTGTCGCCTTCTGGCGGATCGTGTTGTGGCCTCCAAGCGCGACGGTCAGCTTTCGGAGTCTGCACGTGTGGGCTTTCTTCTGCGATCGCAGCTGGAGGAGCGGCGCTTTCTCAAACGAGGATTAGAGGCGATGCTGGAATCACTCAGAGGAAGGCAAGCATCGGTGCTGCCGGAAGCCGCAGAGGGCACGGAGGAGGAGGTGCACACCGGCACGCTTTACCGTCTCGTGATGGCTGCCTCGAATGCGTTGCTCGAGCACACGGCCGCCGTGAAGCTGGCGAAGGCGCGCACGCGTCTCTCCCTCGAGCACGCAACGGCAGTGCTGAGCGAGCTACACAACGCTCTGCGCGATGCAGCGCGTGCGACCTTCGAGGCGGTGGCGCATGCGAGCTCCCTCGAGGAGACGCTGCTGGCTGGGGGTGACAGAGATGCACCGCAGGCATCAACGATGCTGTCGCGCGGAACGGCCTTTTCCACGTTGCGCAGCGGCTTCGCGACCCCTTCCCCCTATCGCCGCGAACTCGCCGATAGCTCTGCGAAGGGAGGTGAGAATGAAGGCAACGATGTGAGCCGCACCGTCTCTTCAGCGAACTGGACCGCCGCGCCTGCCGCATGGCAGCTGTCGGAGGAGCTGGAGTGGGTGTGCGATGTGCTCAAGGCATGTGTGCAGGGGGTGCGTGAGGTGGACGGCGACCTAGCGGCAGCCGGTGCAGAGCTGACGGCACCACAGCCGTCACCACCATCGTCACCGTTGCAGCAGCGGCCAGCTGTTAATGGCAGCATCGAAAGTAGTAAGCTTCACAAAAAAACCGACTTACCACCTTTAGCGGAGGCTGCGAGTCCAGAGATGAACGACCTCTTACGCAGCTTTTTGGCGGATCTTTCTGATGTCAAGAAGAGGGCCGCGCAGCAGCAGGAAGCAATGGCGCGTCAACTCGCGCACGAGGTGGACCGGCATTATCGCTCCACCCAGCAGTACGAGGAGCGCGTCAAACTTCTCGAAACGGAGTGCGCGAGGCTGTTGCGTCACGCCGAACGCGTCTCTGAGGAACGCGCAAAGCCGCTGTCCGACCTGCCAGCGACAGCCGTAGCACCAGCATCACAACACCAGCCGCACCAACAGCGGCCGTCTTCGTCGTCTCAGCACGATACGGCTGGCGCGCCTTCCAACGAGACACAAAAGGCGGTGACCGCCGTGGAGGACACCGAGGAGGATGAGAGTCACCGCGTCACACCAGAGCGGTACGCGGTGAAACGTCGCGACACCTCGTCAGCAGCCCCGCGTTCACTGGCAGAGTGTTCTTTTTCGACCCTGCCGACAACAGCGACGCCCGACTCCAACATGCACGGTAGCTCTCGGCCATTGCGGAGTGCCCCTGGCAAGCGTCATGCGCGCGACGCAGCTTCACAGGCTGGAGGACCCGATATCAGCCGAGGCCGTAGCGGTATTTGGAATGAATCAACGCCAGCCCAGCACGAGGGGTGGCCCTCTCACTCCCTTTTAAAGGAAGTCTCACCAAACTATCGCCTGGACTACTCCACCAACAAGTCACTCCTGTCTCCGCGCCGTGGAACCCCACCACACGCCGCATCGGGGACTCCGTCCGCTGCTGCAGCGTCGCTTCGGTCGCTCGATCACAGCCGCAACGCCTCCGTGCAAGGCGAGTCCTCTGCAGTGGCGGATCGTTTTGCACTGCAGCGGCGCTATCGGCG